CTTTTTGCTGTTTTTTGTATTTGTATGATAAGAATACATTTTAAATCGTTATTAATAGAAAAAATATGGTAATACGGAAGAGGATTAGGGCCAAGCAATAATAAAAAAAGAAAACCATCTGGAGATTAAAGTCATTATAATGCGAAATTAAACTCGTTAAATTTCGAGAAAAAAGTCGAAATACAATCTTGAGAATAAACTCATTAAATATTGCGATTAAAGTCATTATAATGCGAGATTTTAAAGTCGTTGTGTTTCGAGAAAAAAATGGTTGAAATTCGAGAAAAAAATGTCGAAGTACAATCTTGAGAATAAACTCATTAAATATCGAGAATGAAGTCGTTGTTATGAGGAAAAAATATTTTTTTCTCGAAATGTAACACATTTTTTCTCGAAACACGACTTTATTCTCAATATTTAATGAGTTTATTCTTAAGATTGTATTTTAACATTTTTTCTCGAAATTTAACTAGTTTTTTCTCGAAACACAATGACTTTATTCTCGCATTATAATGACTTTAATCTCGTGATGGTTTTATTTTTTTATTATTGCTTGGCCCTAATCCTCTTCCGTATGGTAAAATGTGAGGATTAAATATGACACTACTAATTTTATTTGTTCATCTCTCAGTCATCATTGTATAGCATTGCTTTTATATGTTTTGCCTCCATTTACAGTTTTTTTTATTCGCTTTGGTACTATTTTCACAAGTAAGGTGTACATTTTCAAAACTCTTAGTACAAAAATCCAAACTGATCACACTTGTAACGCAGCTAGTCATTCTTTCAAAACCTGATGTAATGCTTTCAGTCAGTTGCACATGTTTTCAGTCCACATAATCATTATTTCAAACACAAGATTATTGTAATATGTAATGAGAACATTTGGTTTAATCACTGAAACACAACAATATGATCTTCTTTCAGTTTAGTACTTTTAACAATCAGTTCATCCAACAGCAAACAATGCAAGAGACATGTTTCAAATCGGCCTTAGAAGTGCTGAAATGAATATGCTACAGTACTATAAAAGACAGATTACACAGTTTTACTGTAACATTAGGCAATACACTTACAGTACCCAACATTTACATAATCTATAATTTCCAAATATCCATCATATATGTAGGCCTAATCAAATGAAGGATCAATGAAGACATCCTTTACAATCATTTAGGCAAATTATAGTTTTTATTTTTCAGATATAATTGTAATATAGGTATACTTTCTATAATGAAATGTAACTAAAGAAGAACAAAACATAACATTTAGTGCACACATTACAGTACATAGTGGCCAATTGTGGTCAGACTGTGAAAAAAATTGTGAAAAAAAAAATAGCTATAACGAGTATTCATCATGTGTGGTTACTGGTTACATGTAATTTACAGTAAAACTGCAGATAAAACTAAGCATTCAAACATCATCTTACTAAGACAGTGACCATGTGATTTGATGTGTTATCTGCTATATTGCTATAAAGATCTCATTGATTTAGATCACAAGCTATCAGAATTAAATCTTTCTTTAATTCATGTAAGCAATAAGGTACTCGAGGCTGTGGTGTATCGTGAATAAGTAACTCTGCTTCGTGTCATGCCTTCAGCCGTTACTTTTTCACAATACAGTACCTTATTGCTTTTATAAAGCGGTTACCACACACAATAAAAATATTAAAGTAAAAAAAATGTATTAGTACAATTTTCATGAAGTAAAATCACTTAAAGCCTTCCTTCCACTGTATAAAAATCGTCTCTGATCGTGAACAGCAACAATGGTCCAATGTGTAAAATGCATGAAATAAAAACAACATAGGAACTGCAGTGTTGCTCAGTGATTGGGTGAAGCGGTCATAGCTGTGTTTTATCATGAATCAGACCAATCAGAATCAACGATTGGAACTAACCGTTTAAAAAAATATATAAGCATCTGCACCAAATTGCATATTTTCGGTCAGTTTAGGTCTCAAAATGAAACGAGTGCTTTTTCCTTTTTGGGTATGAGGTCCGTATACTCTCGCTATTCTATGTAAGCCATAAAAGCCTGATAAATAAAATACTCAACATTTGAACAAACTCTTTTTTCGATTGTTTAAGGTTTAAATAAACGGTTCCATTTTGTATTTGCATTTACTTGCATATACAATTTAACATTAACTTGGTTATGTTGAAGTTGAATTTACAGTTATGACATAGTAAAACAACATGTAACAGTTTATTTGTGTATAATCATTCTCTCATTGCATTCTCCTTTCTTTTTCTCATTGAAGCACATTTCCGTGCCCCTGCCAGACCCACTGCCCATCTTTGAGCTGCTGGTGTTAATGTCAGATGAGCTTCCTCAGCTCTGTGTGGGCGTCCAGGAAAGCCCCGAACAGCAAAATGAGTGCCAGCTAAAGTTTGACATTATCCATCTAAATGGCATGCCAAACCCTCAGCCAGGTTAGTGAGTGACTGCGGGTCTCGCATGAAATCAGCAAAGAAAACATGAAAAAAAAGTATATTAAGTGTGTGAATGTGTGATCTTTGTGTCTCTCCTTAGACAGTAACACAATAAAAGCTGTACAAGTGACACAGTTGGACAGGGACACCGTTTTAATTGCACTGGAAAGTATGTATGATTTAAATGTGAATACTCTATTAAAACATAAACTGATTGTATTGTTAATTAAATATTGCTGTAATTTTCTAGAAACAGTGAAGATTGTCAATATGCAGGGTGTTCCCAGCAAGGAGTTAGTATCCGATCTGGATTTTGACTTCTCTATCGAGACTTTAGGTACAAACCTGACATATGAAAAAACACTATACGTTCACAATGACTTTTGACAAAACTATAATTTACAATACTGTGTTTTTTTTTCCAACAGTTTGTTTAGAAGAAAGTGTTTTAGCTTTCTGGAAACATGGGCTTAAAGGACGGAGTCTGCACAACTGCGAGGTAAAGTGTTGTTTTAACAGTTGATGCATTTACATGGACTAAAGATAGTCAGAGAATTTAAAGCCATCATCGTGTTTTATCTTAGATAACACAGGAAATCACAGACGAAAGCCGAGTGTTCAAAGTTTTAGGCACGCACAGGTATTGACTTTCCTTTTAACTCGCATAAACATCTGATTTTGTTCTTGTGGATCTTACATATTTTTCTCAAATCTTGGTTTACAGAGACATCGTTTTACAAAGCACTCCGACGGAAAACCCTTCAGCGACTAACAATTTATACATTTTGACCGGTCACGAGAGCAGCTACTGAGGAAAACCGGTGGACAGTACCTGTAAATAACGTGCATCACAAAAAGATGTGAAAATGCATGGTAATACAGAGACTTACCAACTGTGCACCATGTGTGTGTTGGAATTCGGTCCTTCAGTCGATCTCACTGGTACAGATTGTGAAGATACAGAAAGTAATGCCTTGGTTTTGGGCTTTTGTTTGTCCATCTATGTGTTTTTGTCATAGTTGTCCATGAACTCTGAAATGACCTGGATTAAACAACTGTATTTAAATTAAAAAGATCATGTGATAATTTTGTGATGGAAGGATTGTGGTAACTACTAATAAACTGATAAAGTGAAACCAAACTGTTCCAGACGCCACATGTTGATTTATTTATAGTTATAGATATATATAGATATAGATATATATAGATTATAGATATATATAGTTTTATTTAATGCTATTTTGACATTTTTGGGAGAAAATGCCTTTCAGGGAGAATTTATCTTTTTTTGGACTAACCTTTTAACTTGTTATGATGAATTAAAGTTCAGCTTTTTCCCCACACAGTCCTGGAAACCTATACAAACTCATCGGTTACTTGAATTCTCTAATAAACATGAGGTCATGGAGCAGTTGTCATCATTTACTCTCACCCTCATGCCGTTCCAAACCCGTAGGACTTTCGTTCATCTTCGAAACACAAATGAAGAACTTTTTTGATCAAATCTGAGAGATTTCTGTCCCTCCATTGACAGCTACGCAACTACTACCACTTTGATGCTTCAATAAGTTCATAAAGAGATCTATTCATAAACTATTCCATATGAATTGAGCAGTTTTAAATTTTCTCAAGAGACACGATCGCTTCATATCATGAACAGATTGGATTTAGACTTCGTAATATATAGTGATAGAGGCTTTCCTGAAAATTTGCACTAAACTTCTCAATTCATATTAGTTTTACAATCTCTTTATGAACTTCTTAAAGTGTCAAAGTGGTAGTTGTGTTGCTGTCAATGGAAGGACAGCTCTCAGATTTGATCAAAAAGATCTTTATTTGTGTTCAGAAGATGACCGAATGTCTTACGGGTTTGGAACGACATGAGGGTGAGTAAATGATGACAGAATTTTCATTTTTGGGTGAACTATCCCTTTTAATTTTGTTGGTTAGTGTATATATCATTAACTGGGTCCATCCTCAAGAGGGAGCTAAAGCTTAAAAAAATTAAATAGCATAAAGCAAAATATAATAATAATTTAAGAACTCTTTTGGTTGAGTTTATTTGAGATTTTATTAATTTTTCAGAACATAACTACGGGACAATCAATTAATTCATTTTAAATAACACCAATAAGTTTGTGTATGTGTGTGTGTGTGTGTATACAGTTAGGTCCATAAATTTTTTTCAGGTATTTACCAAAACATATTCAAGCTATTATTATATAATTGATATGGGCTGAAAGTGCACACTCAGGTTTAATTTGAAGGTATTTAAATCCTAAAAAGGTCTGGAGTTGATTGGATTTTACGAAGTGTAATATTTACATTTGGAATCTACTGCTGTAAACTAGGGATGCGCGGTATCCCGGTACTGCAATTTTTTTCAAACGGTACAATATCATAATTTTTTTAATTCGACATTTGATGCGCTGCTGTTTCAAAGTTCTCCGCTAGGTGGCAGTGAGCTATCTACACTGACGCGGGTCACGCGCGAAACCGGCAAACGCTGACGAAGGAACACGATGGATCAAACCAGACGGGCTCTGAAACGAAGCTCATTCGAATTTGTACACGCCCGAAATCAATAAATAGAGAGAACAAAATGACTGAAATAAGGCATTACTTTGACTACAGAAGTAGTGAGAAAAGTAAAAACAGGCCTCAAAGCACCACTCTGCAAACTTTGCTTTAAACGGGAGGCAACACATTAGATCTGGAGCACTCGTCCGTTGCTCATCGGCCTCATCCTGTCTTGTTCAAAGAGTTCAGAGATCGACAGGTGAGTTTTGAATAGCTGCGCACATACATAAGAGCGTATCAATGAAATATGATACGGTAAACACGAAAGCTCAAATCTTCTTGCATGACACGCTAGAACCCATTCAGTTTAGGTCTCATAATTTTTGCACTTTCAAACAAACAAACAAACAAACAAACAAGCATATTAATTTAAAGGGATAGTTCACCTTGAAATTAATTTTTGATATGTTTTAGCTTACCTCAAGGGCATCCAAGATGTAGGTGTCTTTGTTCCACAGTATTTTCAATTTTGATATTTTGAGGTCAAACTGTTCTTCTCTGTCAGACAGTCATATAATGGAGGTATATGGGTTCATCCTAAGACACGAAACGAGCGGTTTGTGTGAGAAAACGAACAGTATTTATATAGTTTTTACCTTTAATCACATTCACGTCCAAGTGATCTGAAGGCACGGGCGCTTCGGTCTGCGCATGCGCTGGAAGTGATCTCTCTCGCGTGTACGTCACTCATTGTTTACACAGAGATTTCGGAAGTTTTACCTTTCACTGTGAAGATCTAAATATGTTTAGACCTTCACAGTGAAATGTAAAATTTCCGAATTCTCCTCGGAAATCTCTTGAACACGATCAAGCATGCATTTCGCTTGCTGAAGGCAAAACTAAAGGACAAATAAACAACTGAAGGACTAAAGGACGAACAAACAACAATTGAAAACTCTGATTGTGTGTCTATTAGTGTGCTCTTGCATATACTTAATGTAAAGTTGAGAAGAAAATATTACCTAATTTCTATAGTCTCATCAAGTGATCTATTTTTTCTTTCCAAAAGGTTACTGTTTTGCTCCACAGTCACATGTGTGATATATGTGGTTGCCTCAAACACCCACTCATGCAGACTTGAATATGCGATGGTCTTCTGCATTCGTACTTTTCCGATGAATTAACACTGTGGTCGTGAAACACTTCAGGCAGTCATACCTTATAATTTAAGAATTGCGCTTGCACTTTCACTCACATGTGCACACAGGATGTTTGTCCGACCTGGTTCGACCTATTTTTTATGATTACTTTATATGGTAATGATGTGGTTGCTGGTTGTTTCTGATAGCCATCTTTAGAAAAACAAGAAGACCACAAACTGTTTTCACACAATGCAGCACTTCATAAAAACAAAAAAAAAGATTTGTGACAAGTTCACATATTTTATGTGATTTTTGTATTCATTGTGTGGAGTCTTTGATTTATCTTAAAGGTAAAGGAGATCAAAAATATATAACATTGATGGATGAATGGACAGGCATATAGATATCGCATTTTCACTGCATGCAGTTTTCATTTTTGGACTCTCTTGATTCCAGGTCTGTCCATATACTTATCTTGGAGAAGATTTTGATATTACCCACACATGAACTTATGCAATGCATTTTTTTTTATCCAGTCTTTCCTTTTTTTTTTTGGCCCTTTGATGTCATTTGTTAGGAATTAAAAAGGCTCTTTTGAGTACTTTAGTCTCTCTGTGTGATTTACCACTGACTTGTAACGTATATTCACATTTGTCTGTGTATATTTCAATGTAAATTTGGCCAGATCAATGCAATTTAGCTTAACAAAACCAAATTAATTTTGCAGAGACTATAGTTACAAAGGCATTTCATATCTTTTGTAACACTTTTGCTCCAATTTGGGAGTGGGGTGAGAGACACCGGGTTGATTTCAACCAATCACGCTCTTATTCAAGTCTTGGTTTGAAAGTGACCAATCACATCACATGCACGTCTTCTAAAAAGCATTTTCACACATCCATTGCTTCAAACATGATAATTTGGGCCATTTTGATCTTTTGGGCTTGTAAGTAGTTTCCCCCCCTCTTTTTCCACTGTCTAATTATGTATTTATTAGTCAGTTCCATTCCATGTATGCATATATTTAGTGTTTAAATGAAACCTCACTGTTCTGTTTTAGCTGGGGTCCGACCTGATCACATTCGTGAAAATGTCTTGTTACAAACATTCCAGCTGGGAGATGATGTTACAATCAAATGCTTCTCGATAGAAAGTTTTGGCAGCACAATGGTTTGGTATAAGCAGAGCATTGGACGGATCCCTCGGCCTATTGCATACAATTATTGGCATTATATAGAATTTAAGGATGAATTTAAAAACGGGAGATTTAATATTTCCGCAAGCCAAGGATCTTTTCATCTGAACATCACAGCTATGACCAAGGAGGACGTCGGAATTTACTATTGTGGGACGTTGGTCTTGAATTCAATTCAATTTATCTCTGGAGTGAATCTGATGCTAAAAGGTAAAATATTCAATTTTCTAGAGTTTTAAAGATTTTGTGTTGGAGTAAACTATAACAATTTAACATTCCTTGTTTCAAACTAAAAGAGTCTTGACATGTTCATTTGTTATTTCAAAGGAACTGAATCTAAAGACTTTAATGTGGCATGTGGGGAGACACCAGTTGTGAATGGAACCACTTTTAAGAATAACGGTAATTATTTATTAAATTACTATGACTAATTGTTAACTTGCTTTCTTTGGTGACTGTTACAAGTGGCCCTAAAAAGTATTTGCATTCTTAAGCCACGCTTAAAATAGCATGAATTTCATTGCATTACACAACAAAATATCCAACCAAGTGTATTCTGCAAACAGGAAGAGCAAAGTTTTACCAACGATTCACACAATGTTTTTTTAGTAAATGTATGAAGTCAGTTCTTTTCAAGTTATCATAATCTAAATATTTTTTGCTTGAACAGTGTCTATCTTTCTTTATAACGAGTCCCACTTGGATTGACACTTTGTTATCTAATGCAAAGCCATTCGTTTATCTTTAATTATATGGTTTAAGTGTTAAAATACTTTTTTGGGCCACTGTTTCAAGTCATGGAAAAGTATATTCACAACACATAGCTAGCAGTTCTAGTAATGTATATTCTCAGTATTTTAATTACGAATTTTACAATGAGCTGAATGCTTTGTTAAATTATTTTTGGATACTTTTCTCCATTTCAGAAAGCAACAATCAAAAAGTATGGGATCCTGTGTTACTTTGCCTGATATCCTCCAATGTTGTTTTTGTGATAGTAATTGTCACACTCCTGGTTGTTCAATGCAAACGCTGGGGAAACCGGCATAGAGGTAAAATTTCACACTTTCCATCAGTTAAGCAGAGTTTAGTTGAATAGGCTATGATCCAGAAAAGTCATATACAGTTTAATATACAAATATGTTGTACAAACTCTTTAAATATTCAATTACAAATATGTGTATGGCAAAGTTTAACTATAATTTTCTGCACATTTTGAAGGATCTACAAATCTAGCATCTCCATCATGTGAGGTAATTTTCAAAAATACAAAATAAATTTTCTTCTGTACTATATTATGTACTTCTAATCCATGAACTATTACAAATGTCAAACTTTGCATCTCAAGCAGAAAAGATAAAAGTAAGCAATGTATTTTTTTTTACAGATAGGAGATTCAGATGTGAATTATGCGGCTGTGAGTTTTGCCTCCGTCCCTCCAGCCAGAAGATCAAACAACATACTGAATACAGTGATAACATCTGTTGAATACAGTGAAGTGAGGACAAGCTGACAGATCACACGATTTAACAGATTATTTGACATTTATCTTTACAAAATGATTTGCCTTTTTATAAACATGTATTATTAAGCATCAATTACTGTACATGTAGTTCATCCAAATTTTACTTTGAATTATTATTGTGTGTATAGAAATACTTACCCCCAGTTTCACAGAAAAGGGTCAAGTCTAGTCACATACTAAATTGAATGTTTGAGCTTTTTTAACTTTAAGCAACTTGCAATGACATATCATATGTCAGTTTAACTTTTAAAAAACATTTAACTTTATGTCTGTCCCTTTAAAAGCAAATGAGCTGCTGCTCCCAGCGCAGGGGGCGGAGCTACAACAGCTTGTGTCCTGAAAATTTCTAAAACGTTTAGCCTTTTATGTTCAAAGAAGTGGAGTCAGACAAAGGTGGAGAGACTCAAGAAGAAGTGACATGCAGACAACATTTCTGAATGGTTAGCTGATGAATTTATGTAGCTTATGTGTAGTTATCTTCTAGTAATTGATTAGCATATTCTGTCATGAGGGTTTGATGTCACTAACCCAGGAAGAATGTCCTGTAGTCCCTACCAGCTGATTAGTCTTAAAAAGCAATTTTATTAAAAGAAAATATCTCACTTTGCTTTGTACTTTGAGCGTCGTAACTTTGCAGATGTTGTTTATGCTCAAACAGCAACATTTATTACATGTTAACATTTATTATCGTCCTTTACGATTGTTGCTTTTCAGACTGAACGAACGTGATCATCTCTGTAAGCCATGTGACACTGTAAGATCTCAGTTGTCATTAATGTTAGACTGTACGACAGTCAAGACGCATTAAAAAGCAAGTGCACACAAGAAAAATCGTCTGGAGTTTAACATCAAAGACACGTTCGGTGACAGTGAGCTGCGTTACACGCGGGATTTAAATGGTGCTACAAATAAATCTCTAACGTTCATTTGGTCACGGCTTCTCTTGAAAAACGAAGATGGTTTTTTTGGTTGTCATAGGAGAAGTCACACTGCAGGACTGCGATATTCTGATTGCAACAATTAAAATGTGATGGTAAAATGAATTGGCATGTTGGCATCAACATGTCAAACTAACGTTTAAAGACTTCAGATTTTAGCTTATAGGATCAGAGGTTTTCTTTTAGGGTTTGCAAATTTTGTCTCAGGAGGCCAAATCGTGGCCAAAATCTCACAGTGTGCATCCAGCTAGTGCTTGTTAAAGCAGATTACTGGATCAAAGAAGTGAAAGATAATAAAAAGTACAATATGTAGTGCGAAAATGACATGCATTTATAATAATAACTGCATGATAAAAATTGTCCAAACATGCATTTTCAGATCGTCTTCATGATTAGTCTAAATCCTGTTCAGTCTTGTCATGTTCTTCATAACTGGAAGCACTTCCATAGTCTGAGAAATGATTCTTCTGATGCCATTCAATCACTTTAGCACAAGATATCTTTATGTCCTCTTCATCAGCACATGAGGATATCTCTGCTATAAGGAAATAAAACAAAGATTTGGTTATCTCACATTTTATTAAAAGAAACCTATAAGTACTTGACTTGTCAGTTGAATTTGCAATCTGTTTGTTGGCAGCACAGAACTTTTTTAGCTATCAGCTTTTTTTTTTTTAGACAAACTTTTCCAACTTAGTGAATCGTATAATGTTTTCCGGACTCGTACCTCTGGCGTTCGGGCATTTTAGTTTATACTGGATCCTAGAGCTGTCTACTGCTTCCTGACGATTCCATTCCCTCTCAATTGCATCTTTCAGCTGGTGTTTGTTGATAAATAATTCTGTATTTATCCCTTCTCCTCTTACTGCAAGCAAAATCATAAATAGGCAATTAAAGTGAGTATAAGCCACTGAGATCAAAATATATGTTTTGAAAAAATTTATACATACAATCCAGAGGTTCATCTAAACTTCTTCCTGTTCGGACAAATTTGTGTGTGCTCACTGTTTTCAACATATCTTTCATCATAGCATTACTTCTCTCCCATTCTTCATTAAGTATTTTTTTGACATCCTCAATTCGAAGCCACTCAGATTGGGTTTCTCTCTCTTGGGACTTCTTGTTCCTCCCCTGATGTTCATCATTTGTTTCCAGCAGAGCACCTTCCCTTATCATTTCCTCAATCTTCTCCAGTAACTGATCTACTTGGGTGCGATCTTCTCTCATGCTCAAGCTCTCAAACACATGATATCTGTTCCCGCACATCTCCACGAGTCGCACAAGGGCGTCCCCTTCACTTTCAATGTGGTACTCAATAGGTTTGTTTCCCAATCTTCCTCCACATGTGAAGAGCACCATGGTTTGCCTCCAAACCTTTTCACCAAGTGGTCTCATGTTTTCTAATATGACTTTCGTCTGCTCTTCTAAAAACGATGTGTCTGAAGGTATAGCCAAGAGGATTGCATCAGGGGAAGGATCCATTGCCTTCAATATCTCAGTATTCACAGAATCTGCGTTTAGTTGATATGGAAGAAATTTCCAAAAGCTTGGCGTGTCCACTATAGTGACCTTTCTTCCGTTCACTTCTCCACGTGTTCTGACACACATCACAGTTTTGTCAAATGAAACGTCATCAGCCAAGATGAGACTGCCAGCCAATGTCTTGCCGGACAGGACCCATCCCAGCAGCACAATATTCAGAGGTGATCCATCATGCTCGGCTTCTGTTGAAAATATGTATTTATAATATATTTAAAATATAATTATTATAATTATTATAATTATTTATAATTATTATTATAAAATAGAATTGTGAAATATTTATAATAATTATAAATACATATTATTTTATAGTATTATAATACAATATTTATATATTAAAATATAATTGAAATAATTATTTTATAACAAACTTTTAGAGACTTTAGTATACTGTAATGTTATAGGCTACAGCTGATTGCAGTGTAAACAACAACTGATAGTTTTTATGCAAAACAAGTTATGGTTATCCTGAGTAAAATAACAACAAACTGAAATTGGATACTGACCGGCATTCCTTTTTATTTCTTCCAGTTTTCTTCTCTTCTCCAAAACTTGTTGTGCTCTGGCGGCTGCTCTCTCTTCCACATTTTTTATTTTAATCTCCAAATTCATCAGCCTTCTTGCATCAGCTTTAAAAGAACGGCCGTTGTTTTCAGCAACAAGTTTCTCTATCTGCCTAAATAGCTCTTTCGTCTGGGAACCATCTCTATCCAGGTCAGCGTCAAAACCAACATATCTGTTTCCACATTTTTGAGTAAGCTTTTGCAAGTTTTCCCCATCACTTTCTACATATTGCTCTATAGTTTTGTCACCCAAATGTTGGAGTTTTGTGAAGACTATAATGGTTTGATCCCAGATGTCTTCACTAATGAACTGCATGTGACCCTCGGCTACTTTCCTATGCTTCTCCGAGAAAGCAAAATCAACCTCTATAACTAGCAGGAAAGCATGAGGTCCCAGTGGACAGATACTGGTGCTCCGAACAAGCTCATCTTTCAGGCGCTCCATGGTGTCACATAACTGATAACAGTTCCTCCAGCCTGGGGTGTCCACAAGAATGATTTTCCTGCCGTTTATGTCTCCTTCCATCTTCACACACTCTGTGGTTATTTGAACAAATTCACGTTTAACATTTAAAAAGGAGTGTGCCACATTACTCTTCCCACTCTGATATCCTCCTAATAACACTAATCGCAATTCTGTAAAACAAAAGGAAGAAGAGGTTGACAAAGTATAACCAATTATCTACTATTTTCTAACCAAATATCTACTAAACATTATATTTATATTTTTAATTAATTTTCATGAAAATAATTTTAAAGTAATTACAAAAGAAGAGAAAGAAGAATCAACACATCCTACAATTTTTTTCTTGAAAATGCTTCATTTGCTGTCTCTTACCGTCTGCCATTGCCAAATCCAAAAAAAATATATTGCTTGAAAAAATGATTAATCCTTCTCAGTGATCACTTCCTCTCTCAGTCCCTTTTTTGTATTTTTACCACAGATTTCTAAAAAGAAAAATTTGTTCATGAAAATGGTTGCATTTCATAAAATGGCTTCTTTCCATTGTGAATGTTTCAACTAATGCGAAGGAGAAAGTAAAACTGACGCATGTTTAGACTAGATCTCTTTGTTGATCATGATGTTTGTGGCTGAACTGAACAAACCAGTAGCTAATAGTTCAAATATAAACACTCCTCCCCCACCCTATCAAATCTCCAAGTGTACTGATAGTTGTCTTCTCAGCATGGAAGTTAGTTGGAAAATCACATAGGATTCTAGAGAAATAGCCTGAAATATTTTGATTGAGTGTTGGATTTTTTTGTGGTCCTGCCAATCATAAGCACATGTTGTATAGTTTTCTAAAACCTTACAATAATCAGAAATAAGTTGGGTCCTTCCCTAAAATGTATAGTGTATTAATCCAATTACTGAGACCTTATTATGACCATAACTATTTCTTCTTTTCTATTCCCTCCTCTATTCTTTATAAAACCATGGCAGCTTTATTTTGAATGGAATATAAATGTGTCCTTTGACTCTCCCTTTCCCAGACAGTATAAGAAGTGGACAGAGCCATCTCATTGGAACTCCATTGAGACAAGTGAAGCCCGGTTTTGGCTTTTTTTTTTTAGCACTTCTATTCCTGACACGCAGAGTCAAACAGAGCTTGACGATGTAGATGTGACATGGGCTACCTGTCTGTCTTCTAGTGGCTGTGGCATGAGAAATCTAAATCATTCGCTTCCGAAACATGCAGAGAGTGTGAGTAGGAGCCTTCCATGAGCTAGGAGCAGGAGAAACTTTTGCTAGGTATTCTGATTAATTATTTTGTCACCACGTTTCCCCAATTGCCCGCAAGCTTCTCCTCCTGTCCATACGGTAATCTCTCTACTCTACTCTCTAAGGCCGTGTGTCCACCAAAGCGTTTTTCCACGCGCCTGGTGTATGTTTTCAATGGGAGCGCCGTGTTTTTTAAACGCCATGAGCGCACTGAGGCGCTGAGCGGTTTTTTTCACGCTGAAGCGCCGAGCGCTCAGCATTTTTACTGGTCGCTGGGAGTTGAAAAATGTTCAACTTTGGATAAAACGCAGCGCTCGTCACTGTCACTTTTTACCCAGCTGTCCAAACACAGTGGAGGAGGGGTGTGGCCTCAAGATACTAACTCGTGGCCTCAAGATACTTGAATCTTGAGACCACGAGTTTTATCTTGAGGCTTGAGGCCACGAGTTTTATCTTGAGGCCACAAATTACTATATTGAGGCCACGAGTTACTATATTGAGGCCACGATTTAGTATCTGGAGGCCACGAGTTAGTATCTGGAGGCCACGAGTTACTATATTGAGGCCACGAGTTACTATCTTGAGGCCACGATTTAGTATCTTGAGGCCACGAGTTAGTATCTTGAGGCCACGAGTTAGTATCTTGAGGCCACGAGTTACTGTCTTGAGGCCACGAGTTACTGTCTTGAGGCCACGAGTTACTATCTTGAGGCCACGAGTCAGTTACTTGAGGCCACGAGATAGTTATAATTAATTTTTTTTTGCCAAAGTGGGATTATATAGGGGGGCTCCGTAGTTTTCCTTAATTTTAATGAACCCTAACTTTATTCTCATCTGAAATCTAAAAAAATATTTCTGTATAAAATAATACTACCATTAAAAACACATTTGATTTTCTTTATTAATCAATGTAGAATGTGACTTAAAAATAAACAGATTAGTGCTGGACTCAAAGACAAGGAATGAAAACTAATGCTATATGATGTCCAAAAGATGGAACCCACAGACTGTTTTGTTGGATAAATATGTTTTGCTTTTAAAACAACTGTGTGTGTGTGTGTGTGTGTGTGTGTTTTGTTGGGTGACCGTTGTAGGTTACAGTTTGACAAGAGTTTAGAGTGACAGAAGCTGCTATGTTTTAAAGTGTTTGCAAGTGTACACAAATATAAGTAAACACTAAGCAGTTTGAATGATGTCCATGAACAAAATGACGGAGTATGTTTTATGTTTCCACTGTTCGATCGCGCCCGTGCCCCCCCCCCCCTCTCTCTCTCTCTCTCTCTCTCTCTCTCTCTCTCTCTCTCTCTCTCTCTCTCTCTCTCTCTCACACACACACACACACACAGTTCAATCGCTCATTAGCATATACCTGAGAAAACATTATGTAACAGAGTGAGTTTAGCATACGACACTCCTTGTGCTGGCGTTATAATAAAACACAGATTTTTCACACTCTTCACCAATAGAAAACACTTTTCCTAGTTTTGAATATATATGCTGTTGGTCATAATATATCACACATTTCATGGACCGATAATTACAGACAGAATTACAGAGCCCTCAATCACACAACTTTACCACTGGCCTTACACACTTGAACTGATAATTGTGTCATAGGGCGCACAGCATCAAGAACCAGCCAGCCAATAGGAACCCATGGAAACCTTATTCTATTCAATCATCTTTCAGTGTGATTATTTAACAGATCATTATTAGCAAGTGAGACACACACACTTTATATATAACTCTGTTATGCGCACGCACGCGCCCACACACAAACACACAGATATGTGTTATTAGACAGTTATAGATATAGAGAGTTAGAGACCACACTTGTTATGCGGGACTGTTGCTCTCATGGAACAGATTTGTTTGCTTAAATTTTTAGTGTTAAATAAGTAGTACCGTCAGATGAAATTCTGCAGGTGTCATTGCTTTCTCTCCGTCCATGCAGTAGATGCACACCCTTGAATGAGCACGGGTGTGCATGGACTTAAAGGAGAACTCCGGCGAACAATGAACCTTTGGTCTAATAAAACGTCGGTACCTAGTTAACCATTCTCTGAGTTTTGTTTTCATGATAATCGAATGTAAAGAGTTTTATCTCTAAAAACTGTTTAGCGTATAATGCTAGTAATGGGGGCATTGAGTAAGTAAAAAGAAATCGCTAGTTTATACCACTAACAAGGCTCAAAATAGCCCCACACTCACACAGTAATATAATGAGGCTCCATACATGCAAAACGAAGCATTGAGAACTTTGTAAGTGTACAGACCGTTTAATAAGAAGATACTTTATGAAGACATTTCACTTCGCGTATACAGGCAGGAGCTATCTTAAAAAATAGTCTCGATAAGTCGATCCCCGAACGCCGTTCATACAGTTCAGAAGTTCGTTGAACTTCATAGAGTTCAGATCACTCAGCACGACGTTCGTGGTTCGACTTATCGAGACTATTTTTTAAGATAGCTCCTGTCTGTATACGCGAAGTGAACTGTCTTCATAAAATATCTTCTTATTAAACGGTCTGTTATATGGTCTCATTATGTTACTGCGTTAGTGTGGGGCTATTTTGAGCCTTGTTAGTGGTATAAACTAGCGATTTCTTTTTACTTACTCAATGCCCCCATTACTAGCATTATACGCTAAACAGTTTTTAGAGATAAAACTCTTTACATTCGATTATCATGAAACAAATTTCAGAGAACGGTTGACTATGTACCGATGTTTTATTAGACCAAAGGTTTATTGTTCGCCGGAGTTCTCCTTTAAACTTCTGAGGTAATATCTCAGGACTGCGTCAAATCTTCTGACACTGCCAGAATTTCGTCAGAGGAAAAATATGATTGCAACAATTAAAATGTGTTGGTAAAATGTTTTGGCTGTTGGTCAACATGTCAAACTAACTTTTAAAGACTTCAGATTCTAACCTAGTGTTACAAACCTCTTTTAGTCTGGGAGAGTAAGGCGTGCAACATTAAAATACTGAGCCTGTACTTGAAAACATCTCACACAAACCATTCACATTTACATATAATGAGGATTTATTGTTGTGAGAAGCAAGATGTAAAGAACCCCTCAAAACAATTATTTAAATGAGCGTACAAAATATATACAAATTACAACCAAAGAAAAAGGTTCATAAAAGAAAGAGGTTAAGAGAAAAGAACTAGAAAGTGCCAAATCAAAGAAAGAAACAAAACCAAATCCAATCTAACTAATTATAAACAAAACAATTTATAACCAAACTAAATGGACATTCATCAGAAAAACAAAAGATCTTCATCGTCAGAGACGGCCTAAATAACTACTCTTGCTACCAAACGAAAAATACAATGAATGGCACGTGTCGCTAAACTAGTGTTCTTTACAAAATTCTACAGCTCAGTGTAGCATATGTATATCACGTGATATCTCACCTGTTCTTTTCTCTTCCCCGTTTAACAACAGGTCAACTAGACCAACGGTGACATACTCAGAGAAAAGATAAAACAAGTTCTCAAAGAACACTGCGCTTCTCAAACAATCAGAACAGTACAGAGCAAACATCAATCACAAACAAATCAAGTCGAATCTCCCGCTTGTTTCAACACAGGCGCGCTCATTGGTGAAGCCTCGTTGCATCATCACCAAGCTATTTGATGATTGGCTGGTGGATGAACCAATCAGGTAGCTGCATCGTCCTGCTAAGCGTGAAAGTAAAGAGGGGAAAAAACAACAACAGACAAATAATAACATAGGACGTAACACCTAGGATCAGAGGATTCTTTTAGGATTTGCAAAATTTGACCAAAAATCGCACAATGTGGATCCAGCTAGTGCTTGTTAAAGCAGATTAATGGATCAAAGAAGTGAAAGATAATAAAAAGTGCAATCTGTTTGTACGAAAATGAAATGCATTCTATAATAAAACTGCATGATAAAGATTTTCAAAACATGCATTTTCAGATCGTCTTCATGATCAATCTCTATCCTGTTCAGTCTTGTTCATGTTCTTCATAGCTGGAACATGCACTTCCATAGTCTGAGAAATGATTCTTCTGATGCCATTCATTCACTTTAGCGAAAGACATCTTTATGTCCTCTTCATCAGCACATGAGGATGTCTCTGCTATAAGGAAATAAAACAAAGCTTTGGTTATCTGACATTTTTTCAAAAGAAACTTAAGTACTTGTCAGTTGAATTTGCAATCTGTTTGTTGGCAGCACAGAACTTTTTTAGCTACTTTTTTAGCTTGTATAATGTTTTCAGTACTTACCATTGGCATTCAGGCATTTTAGTTTATACTGAATCCTAGAGCTGTCTATTGCTTCCTGACGATTCCATTCCCTCTCAATTGCATCTTTCAGCTGGCGTTTGTTGATAAATAATTTTGTATTTATCACTTCTCCTCTTACTGCAAGCAAAATCATAATGAGGCAATTAAAGTGAGTATAAGCCACTGAGATCAAAATATTTTTTTTGCAAAAATGTACACATACAACTCAGAGGTTCATCTAAACTTCTTCCTGTTCTGACAAATCTTTGGTGGCTCACTGTTTTCAACATATCTTTCATCATAGCATTACTCCTCTCCCATTCTTCATTTAGTAATTTTTTGACATCCTCAACTTGAAGCCACTCAGATTGGGTTTCTCTTTCTTGGGACTTCTTGTTCCTCCCCTGATGTTCATCATTTGTTTCCAGCAGAGCACCTTCCCTTATCATTTCCTCAATCTTCTCCAGTAACTGATCTACTTGGGTGCGATCTTCTCTCATGCTCAAGCTCTCAAACACATGATATCTGTTCCCGCACATCTCCACGAGTCGCACAAGGGCGTCCCCTTCACTTTCAATGTGGTACTCAATAGGTTTGTTTCCCAATCTTCCTCCACATGTGAAGAGCACCATGGTTTGCCTCCAAACCTTTTCACCAAGTGGTCTCATGTTTTCTAATATGATTTCCATCTGCTCTTCTAAAAACGACGTGACTGAAGGTATAGCCAAGAGGATTGCATCAGGGGAAGGATCCATTGCCTTCAATATCTCAGTATTCACAGAATCTGCGTTCAGTTGATACGGAAGAAATTTCCAAAAGCTTGGCGTGTCCACTATAGTGACCTTTCTTCCGTTCACTTCTCCACGTGTTCTGACACACTTCAAAGTCTTGTCAAATGAAACGTCATCTCCCAAGATGAGACTGCCAGCCAATGTCTTGCCAGACAGGACCCATCCCAGCAGCACAATATTCAGAGGTGATCCATCATGCTCGGCTTCTGTTGAAAATATATATTTATAATATATTTAAAATAAATAGAATTGTGAAATATTTATAATAATTATAAATACATATTATTTTATAATATTACAATATAATATTTATATATTAAAATAGAATTTAAATATTATTTTTTATAACAACATTTTAGAGACTTTACTATACTGTAATGTGTAGGCTACAGCTGATTGCATTGTAAACAACAATTGATACTTTTTTATGCAAAATAAAATGACACCAAACTAAAATTGGATACTGACCGGCATTCCTTTTTATTTCTTCCAGTTTTCTTCTCTTCTCCAAAACTTGTTGTGCTCTGGCAGATGCTCTCTCTTCCACATTTTTTATTTTAGTCTCCAAATCAATCAGTCTTTTTGCATCAGCTTTAAAAGAACGGCCGTTGTTTTCAGCAACAAGTTTCTCTATCTGCCTAAATAGCTCTTTCATCTGGGAACCATCTCTATTCAGGTCAGTGTCAAAGCCAACATATCTGTTTCCACATTTTTGCGTAAGCTTTTGCAAGCTTTCCCCTTCACGTTCTACATATTGCTCTATAGTTTTGTCACCCAAATGTTGGAGTTTTGTGAAGACTATAATGGTTTGATCCCAGACGTCTTCACTAATGAACTGCATGTGACCCTCGGCTACTTTCCTATGCTTCTCTGAGAAAGCAAAATCAACCTCTATCACCAGCAGGAAAGCATGAGGTCCCAGTGGACAGATACTGGTGCTCCGAACAAGCTCATCTTTCAGGCGCTCCATGGTGTCACATAACTGATAACAGTTCCTCCAGCCTGGGGTGTCCACAAGAATTATTTTCCTGCCATTTATGTTTCCTTCCATCTTCACACACTGTGTGGTCGTTTGATCAGAATCACATTTAACGTTTAAAAAGGAGTGTGCCACATTACTCTTACCACTCTGAAATCCTCCTAACAACACTAATCGCAATTCTGTAAAACAAAATCAGGAAGAGGATGACAAAGTATTTATATTTTAACCAATTTTCTTCTATTATCAAACCAATTATCTACTGTTATGTACAATATTTTAACCAATTATCTACTAAACATTATATTTATATTTAATTAATTTTCATGAAAATGATTTTAAAGTGATTGATTACAAAAGAAGAGAAAGAAGAATCAACACATCCTACAATTTTTTTCTTGAAAATGCTTCATATGATGTCTCTTACCTTCTGCCATTGTAAAATCCAAATAAAATATATTGCTTGAAATAATAATTAATCCTTCTCAGTGATCAATTCCTCCCTCAGACCTTTATTAGTGTCTTACCACAGATTTCTAAAAAGAAAAATGTGTTCATGAAAATGGTTGCATTTTATAAAATGGCTTCTTTCCATTGTGAATGTTTCAACTAACGCAAAGGAGAAAGTAAAACTGACACATGTTTAGACTGGATTTGTTGATCATGATGTTTGTGGTTGAACTGGACAAACCAGTAATAGTTCAAATACAAGCACTCCTCCCCCACCCTATCAAATCTCCAAGTGTACTGATAGTTGTCTTCTCAGTATGGAAGTTAGTTGGAAAATTACATAGGATTCTAGAGAAATAGCCTGAAATATTTTGATTGACTATTGGATGTTGTTTGAGGTATTAGAAATAGACCTGCAAATCATAAGCACATGTTCTATAGTTTTCTAAAACCTTACAATAATCAGAAAAAAGTTGGATCCTTCCCTAAAATGTACTGTATAGTGTATTTATCAAATTACTGAGACCTATTCTTATTATGACCATAACCATTTCTTCTTTTCTATTCCCTCCTCTATTCTTTACAAAACCAGCTTTATTTTGAATGGAATATAAATGTATCCTTTGACTCTCCCTTTCCCATAGACAGTAGTCCATTGAGACAAGTGAAGCCGTTTTTTTTTTTAGCACTTCCGTTCCTGACACGCAGACTCAAACAGAGCTTGACGATGTAGATGTGGCATGGGCTACCCGTCTGTCTTCTAGTGGCTGTAGCATGAGAAATCTAAATCATTCCCTTCTGAAACATGCAGAGAGTGTGAGTAGGAGCCTTCCATGAGCTAGGAGCAGGAGAAACTTTTGCTAGGTATTCTGATTAATTATGTCATTTTGTCACCACATTTCCCTGATAGCTCGCGAGCTTCTCCTCCTGTCCATACGATGATCTCTCTACTGTGCGACAGAGAGTCGTGTGGGTATGACGCAATCGTTAGCCTACTTTCACTAAAACCGCTTCTACGGGGCCATAACATAAGCTACAAGGTAATGGAGCATTTTATACATTGTTGTGTTTCTTTAGAAATAAATAATGGACAAATGGGGTCTTCAAACGCCTCAGATGTAAAGTTTTTCGCTGTGAAAGTGACGCCAAAATTAATGGGAGTCAATGGGAATGCTAACGCAAGTGAAGTTGTGCTACAAGATGGCAGCTCCCGCGAGTCTTCAACTTCCGGTCGATGGATTACCCCCTCGCCCTTTCCCACTGCTGTTTTTTCTCTACTTTCTTTCTAAAACCAGCTTAAAGTCCCTGTAAAGTCAAAATTAAGTATGTGTTCTGACTTTGTCAAACCACAGAAAAATGTGTTATTAGCCACACAGCCAAATTTGAATGATTAAAAAAGCCGGCAAGTACATAAAATAAAATAAAATATCAAAATCTTGAAAAAATGAGCAGTTATATCTGTTCTCAAACGCTGGGGGTGTGTTCGCTGGCTGTGCTGAAACCACGGCCACTAGCGGGAAAGCTTTCGACGGTGATATTACGCGAAACTGCTTTCGCGACGGGAGGATAAACGTTGAGGCGGGAGATAGTCGTTTCGGCCCTGTTCACCAGTAACAGTGGATTATCAGTGAATCCCAGTTGCCTCTGAGGAAAGTTTATAAAACGATCCAGTGTAAAATGATCACTACAGAGGCGGGTGTTGGCAGTGATCCTCAGCTCTTCATCAAGGTTGGCTCTCTAAAAACCTCTTCTTGATGTGATCCTTTTTAGGGAATTTAAATGAAAATACCGATCTGTTTTGTACGTGATCGCGTCCAGGTAGCCTATGCATGTCCGTGTCGAAGGCATAGGTAGCAAACTGTAGGCTCAGCTGTAGTAACTAATAGTGCTGGCAGTCACTCGCGATTGAGCGGTGAATGCGAATGTGCTCGGGGAGTGTTATTGTGTGTTAGGGGAGAGATCAGACTCTGTGCGTCATCAAATAGGGGCGTGTCCAGGAGCTCATGGGCTCCAGTGCGTCATCGAGCCCTGTTTTAGCCCCGCCCAAACAATCCGTAAAATTGCAATGGTGAAAAACTGTTTAACGGTCTAACTGCACATTTCAGTACTTCACAGTTCACAGTCTTTGTAATATGTTTTAGCAATACATATGTAACATTTATAATGTGTTTAGAACTTTTTTGTAGAATTGCCTTTACAGGGACTTTAAGTATTAGTGCCACCTACAGGACTGGAGTCATTTTAGTAACACCCCTGGGTAACCATTGTTTTAAAGCTGTGCAGCTCCTACTGTGGAACAGGAAGTAGATAACATACAAAACAATTGTCAAAACTTAGTCTAAATAAAAACAACATTTTACAGGTTAGTGCAGAAAATGTGCATGTTCGTTCTAAAGTGAAAAGATTTTAATTGACTTGCTTTCCTTTAGCAGGCAGCCATATTGAATGTTGCAGTTTTGAGTAGTCAGACATTTTGTCCCCATAACGAAGATAATACAGAACACACACACACACACACACGGGATACAGGCACACACACACACACACACACACACACACACACACACACACACACACACACACACACACACACACTTGGTTTTGCTATCTTTGTGGGACATGTGGTTACCACAATATAAAATAAACCTGTACAAACACACACACACTTATCTGTGTATCTGTTTATAAGTGTGTTGATGTGTGATAACCAACCACATTACTTTCATTCTAAATAGCCAAATTATGGTCAGTCGCAAAGTGTTAAGCTTGCATTGGTGTAATGTTGTGGTTTTTGCACTAAAGCAATAGCAGACCCTAATTTGTTTCTGTTTCAGGATGTGTTGTGCTGACCTGATTTCTTTTATGTGTGTTTGTTCTTGTGCCACCAGTGACCTTTTAAGATAAACGCACCCACACTGGTGTAGGAGAAACCCGCTGAGACAGGCACTTTGGTCAAAATAATCTGCAAAAGCTTTTTATAGAAGTATACCACTCTCAGTAAATGCCTGACTTATCGCCTACATTTCATTATAGTTAACATAGTTTGTTTTTATGATGTCAAAAATAAATGCCTGTTGACAAGAAAGTCAAAGTGGGTGGATGCTTTTGATTGCAAATGATTCAATTCTTGTCTTTTCTAATTTTTCTAATCTTTTCTAAGTCATTGGTTAATGTGAGATTAAATACATGAAGTATGTTTGTGTAATTTAACAAATTTAATTATTGCCTGTTTGCGTAATATTCTGTGTTTGTGTTGATGTGTTATTTGTGTTGTTTTTCACTCTTAGAAGAAATGGTTCCATCCCCTGCTTCATATATAGAACTCCAAAATGGTTCTATATGGAACCATTTATTTTGGTAAAAGGTTCTATTGGCCAAGTATGGAACCCCAGGGTTCTATATAGAACCCAGAGGAACCCGTTTTTAAGAGTGTATAGAACCTTTTAGGGGTTCCAAATATGTAGCGCTGATAGAACCTTTTAAGGTTCTATATAGAACCTTTTCTTCTAAGAGTGTCGTTTTGAGGAATACTGAAAACAATATGGCCTGGTTTCACAGACAGGGCTTAGATTAAGCCAGGTTTAGAATTAGAATCCAATTAGGACTTTTATGTAGCTTTAATAAAATACGCCTCAGAAAAAAAACATTACTGGTGTGAATCTTATACCAACCTTTGGGCAATTTGAACAACCACAGAAGCTTCCACAGACCAAACTTAATGTGAGTAAATTGACCCACACACTCTCACATCATGCACACTTAGTTTATACTTTTTTCCCCTTATATATACATAATGCAAAACAGACACAGAACTGTTTGCTGACCTTTGACCTTTTACAAAGTCTCTGTTTTTTTAAATATATTTTTAACATGCATATTCACAACATTCATGGCATTTGATGCTGTGTTTCAAAAAACGTTTGGGTGTCATGGAGCCTCACAGAGCTGTTGTGTAATTGAAAGTTAAATACACCGATGATACAGATAAAGAAATGTTTCCATAAATCTAGAACTATATTGACGCAGGAAGTCCACTAGGTCAAAGACTTGTTTATTGGAAAAGTGAATGAGGACAAGGGGTGTTAACTGAAAGATAGAGAACATATATGATTGTAATAACCTCCCTCCAATGAGAACTTATTTCGAAGTTTGGACAATTTGCATACACGCTACACTGAAACTTATCAGTTTATCTGCCATATTCTCATTTTGTTCTCAGGATGGCGACAGCTCATATGCCAGCCATGAAGAGGTTTGCTCTGCACGCATACGCTCTTTTGTTCTACGTATCATGTAAGTAATCTATCACTTGTTTATTTAGGATTTTATTTAAATACATTATATTATCAGATTAACCTCTGATTTAACTTTTAAACTATTTGAGTTTATAAGATCAATTGACAATTATATATGAATACCAGACTTTCTCAATATGTGGTCCGTCTTTTGCTTTAATGACAGCAGGATTCGAGCTGATTACTCTTTTCGGTCACTTTAGACTAGGGTCCAATTCTCATTTACTTCGACTTTTGCCTCAATAAACTCCTAATTACGGCTTATTAATAGTTGGTAAGGTAGTTGTTGAGTTTACGTAGGCCTACTGGAAGGGATGTAGACTATGGTCATGCAGAATAAGGCTTTAATATGTGCTTTATAAGAACTAATAAACAGCCAATCCTAGTTATAATAAGCAAGTTAAAAGTGAGAATTGGACCCTAAACTAAAGTGTTACCCTTTTTTCTTGCATGATTTGAGAATGATCCTATAGAGTATTTTGTGCTTCCGTCAAGTCACTCTTATTTATACGCCGCTTAAAATACAGATTGTTTCAAAAGCAGTTTTACAGTAATAATCAGGAAAATCTATCCATTCATCAACAAGTTAACACTCCTCTATTTTGGAAATGATTGAGATATGATTTCCCAGGACTCATCAGGATTTCTCTTATATCAGGTGTGTCTATGACACCCAGTGTTTTCCAGCCAAACGTGTCAGTCACAGCCCCAGCCGGTGGTTCGGTCATCCTGGAATGCTACACCACTGTCGATCCGGTTGTGACCTGGGTTTGGCTCAAACAAATCCCAGGACAAAAGCTAAGCCCTATAGTTTCCACATATTACAAGAAGATAAAACTTCAAGAAGAATTTGTCAACGAATCACGGCTTGAAGTCAAAGTCGATGACAATAAATCTGCATTAATCTTCAACAAGATTACATCCAGAGATGCCGCCTATTACCACTGTGGTGTGCAGTTGTATGAAATGTTGTACTTTGGAGGGGCATCTTATCTAACAGTTAATGGTAAGTGGAATGTGAGAATGTAGGCAAATTTGGAAATTCTAAGTTTGTTTTATTATTATTACTGCAAATACTAAAGAATTTGTATTTTATTTTTGAGATGCAAAGCCCATTAAAGTCATCCAGCGTCCAGTTTTGGACTCACATCATGAAGGAGACTCTGTGACTCTTCATTGCTCAATCTTTGGTGAGACTTGTTCAGGAGAGCAAAGCATCTACTGGCTTAAATACGAACCAAGGGAGTCTCATTCAGGATTAATTTACAGTGAAGGAGACAGGAAAGATCAGTGTGAGAAGATCTCTGTGTCCGGATCGACTGTACAGAACTGCGTGCACAAAGTCCCCAAAAGCCTCGCCAGTGATGAAACTTACTTTTGCAGTGTGGTCACATGTGGAAAGCTATTCATTGGAAATGGAACTAAACTGACAGCTGATGGTAAAACTTTTTATATTTCTCACATATGTAATATATTTTGGCAATATATTTCTTATATCAGTTCTTAGTTTTTAGAGAATGTAATAATATAAAAAGAGACTTTTCATTCCATTTGGATTGTTCAGATTTTGATCATAAATCACATCTTATTTCTTAAACATTTTTTTTTCCAGTTGTTTCTGATAAAACAGCGTTTTATATCATCGCACTGCTCTCCGCTGTTTTGGTGATATTAGTAATAGTTAATATAATAATGGTGCTGTCATGGAGAAGAACTGCACACAGAAGTAAGACCCTTTTTTACTCATCTCACGTTTCAAATGACATTCTCTCTCAAAAACACAAATACACAACCATTCAAACAATTATGATGTTTTTAATGTTTAAAGTTATCTCTTGTGCGCACACAGGCAGTAAAACAGTCGATGATGTGAAATTTTATGAATTTATTTTTATGCATTATATTATTATGTAAGTTTTTCTATTTTAATTTATTTAAAAATGAAATTTATTCAGATGATCAAACCTGAATTTGTCACATCAGTGTCACATGATCCTTCAGAAATCATGCTAATATGCTGATTTGCTGTTCAAAGTTCTTAATATTATGAATGTTGAAACCCCCTTGTTGATTCTCAATGTTGAAATGATAATTGTTTTCTCAGGATTCTTGATTAACATTATACATGTCTTTAGAATCACTTTTGCATCGTTGCTGAATGAAAATATTGAGTTAGTTAGAAAAATATCTTACTGGCACCAACATTTTTAACTGTGGTGTATACATTTTCCAAAATGATTTGATGTAACTATTCTAATTTCTAATTATGATACATTTTAAGGTGTCGGCGAGGTTCAGTCTACAGCCCAGGTGAGTTGCTTTATATTTTTACATTATACACAGCTATTGGGGAGAGTGGGTGGGTAAGCTGTGCCACTCAAATAAAAATCGATATGAATATTAATAATGTACTTTACCATCGCAAAGTCAAATTTTGCTGCACATTATTTGCATTTAAGACATTTATGAACCATCCAGAATATAAGTATACAACCATACAGAGGCGTTACAAAACCATACTTGAGAAAAAGTACAGAAAACCTTACACCAAAAATGACTCTATTACAAGCAGTGGTGGAATGTAACGAAGTACAAATACTTCGTTACTTTACTTAAGTACATTTTTCACGTATCTTTACTTTACTTAAGTACAATATATAGTGCCTACTTTTTACTTTTACTTCGTTACATTTCGCAGCAATTATTTTACTTTCTACTCCACTACATTTCTACAACTTCTGTTACATTTTCGTTACATTTTCTGATCAGTTTTTCCCCTGCCAAAACGTAACCTGACCATCCGTTCGTTGCACGTTTGTCTCACCAGTGACGTTTGGTTGCCATAGATACAGTATATCAACCCGGTCACACTAAATGCGTCTCGCATGCAGTGTGTTTATCATGCAACTCATACGCGAAATTGTTTTTACGTGCATAGGAAACACACCGTGTGTAATATATGTTTGGTTTGGTTAGGATTATGGCAAGCCAAGAGGTTCAGAATTACACCATAAATGAATCGCGTTTACTGCCAAACATAGTTATTAACATATAGTAAGGATAAGATGATATTGCCTAATTGCAAGCTTGTTTCAGAAATGGTGACATTTTTTTCCATCATTATTGAACATCATTATAGGAGTAGGCTATTAGGTTGAATGAGTTAGAATTAAATGTTTTATTAATCATTAGAAAATAGACATTAAAATAATAAATTGTTATGCAAGTACTTTTACTTTTAATACTTAAAGTACATTTAAAATAAAGTACTTTTTACTTTTTACTTAAGTATGGTTGTCATTGTGTTACTTCTACTTTTACTAAAGTAAATATTTATCTGGGTATTTGTACTTTTACTTAAGTACTGAGATTCAGTACTTCCTCCACCACTGATTACAAGTCACCAATGTTAAAACCCCTTTTTAGTATCTGATTTTAACATTACTTAATCATTTACTTGTACTGAACAGAGTTCATTTGTGAGGAAAGCAACAATGTTTGTTTTCTAAAATCAAAACAGAACAGAAACACCTCAATTTTGCTATAAATCAAGGTCAGCACCTAAAACATCTACAAACACTCAAGTCTCAGTTGAGTTAAAGTGTTCAAAAAGGGAATAGGTAAACCAATATCCTTCAAAAAGGTCTCTTCAATATACTGGAAATAGTCAAAGGCTATTTGCACTGGACATGCTGGTTCGGCTGAAGCCATGTCTTCATTTCATAGCTTATATGTGAAACAACTGCGGTTCAGCAACTACCTAATGAACTCACATTCACGTAAAGTATTTTTATTGTCAAGTTTGGGTGAGTAAGGGTGAAACCATAGGGCGAAACGCATAAGATATACTACCTTCCGTTCCCTTTAGATGGCGATATCACTTCTTTTGTAGCAGAAATAAACTGCTGCAGAAAAAGTTAGGTGCCATGCAAAATGTATTGGAGTAAAGAGTACATATACTCATATAATGATGTAGTGCAAATATCTTTGTTACTCAGTAAAACTAGAAAGTAGCCAAAAAGATACTTAAGTACAGTTTCTAATTACATTTACTCAAATACTTTACACCACTGATACCGTAACATTACTGAATATTTTCAAAATTATATTCTCTCTTCAGATTGCTGACACAGAGTCCGAAAATTATGCATCGCTAAAGTTTTCATCGGACCAGTCTACACGTAAAATAAAAGGCCACAGAGAGGTCAATTCTGTGGTGTATGCATCAGTTCGCAAACAGATAGCGTAAAACAAGGATTTCCTCATTCTCAATGCCTGTCATGTTTTAACTGTGAATATGATTTAACTGTGAATGTCAATTACTGTATAATCACAAATAATATGAGCATCACAAGATTCAGCAGCAAGATGAAATCTTGTATTTTTTTATTTTTGAGAAAGTGACGAGGGAGAGACTTCTGTTACCGTCTTTTATAGATTTTCTTTTATGTTGTTGTCTTAATGTTGTCTTTGAAGGTTTTCATCTTATAATAGCATTTTTGTGACATTTTGCCGCCATGTAATTCACTGTCATTAATATGTTTAAATTTACATTAAATCATGAAAAAAAAATCCACAAATTGTGTGTTTACAGTAATTTACCATTAAATTCAGCACCATGGAGAGGGCGATGCTTTGCAAATGAGGGGAAAAAACTTTCAGTGAAAATTGCTTGGCATCAATAGACATATTTGATATATTTGACATTTTTTATTAAAGAGGAATAGCCCCTTGAGATGAGCCATCTCGTTTTCGAGGAGGTCATCGATTCTAGATTCAAATAAAACAAAAAAACTGACCTTACAGCAGCTTGAATTTAACATAACAAATAGCAAAAAGCCGAAAAACAAAAACAAAAAACAAATACACAAGAAAAAAAAAAATAAAAAAAAAAAAATGCTATGCAGTAGTGCTATACAGCTAAATATATAAACCAAAACAAAACAAGACAGTCATTCATGCAAGACTCCCAAAAGGTGACACACTCCTCCCTAAACAGAGTAAACCATATCATTTCATTTGTACCAAGACAACATCAAAATACAGACAAAAACTATATATGTACCATGCCAAGAAAAAAAAAAAGTTACAGTGAGAAATAAATATAATAAAATAAAATAATGCTAATCAAAAGCAATTGCATGTATTCTGGAGATGTTGAGCTAAATGACTTTTAAATATTGGAAAAGAAGTTAAAAAGCGAATTGAAATTGGAAGTTTATTCCAATCATATGGTGCTTTATATTGAAATGCATATCTTCCTATTTCTTTATTGATCTGTGGAGTGTAAAAATAAATTTGATTATTATGACGCAAATTATGAGATGACCTAAATGGAGTTAAATATTGTTTTAAATAAGCAGGGTAATTCATATAAATGCATTTAAAAACAAACTGTAACCAATGAAAACACCTTCTATTTGATAAGGTCAGCCAGGACAATTGATGGTACATTTCACAATGGTGTGTTCTGTTAACACAGTCTCATCCCAAAAAGTCATATAACTGACGTTTTGGGACGTATTTTGACCATACGTCAATATCCGCCTTTTTAGGGCCCCCTTAAACGTCGGTAGATGGCGATCCCGGGCCGTCATACAACTGACGCTTTACCTTTAACGTCAGTTAGGTGACGGGTTAGGTTTAGGGTTAGGTTTAGGTATGGGGTAGAGTTAGGATCCCATAACCTCATCTACCGACGTTTAAGGGGGCCCTAAAAAGGCGAATATTGACGTATGGTCAAAAGACGTCCCAAAACGTCAGTTATATGACGTCTTGGGATGAGCGGAGTATAAATCTACATAGGCTATTGTAAACTATATTAAGGGACTGAAGACAAGAGGCAGTAGTGTTTTGGCATACAATGTCAGCATAATCCAAGATAGGCAATAGAAGTTGAGAAACGATTCTTTTTCTGACATGATAATTAAAACAGTTAATTGATTGGTATAGAATTCTAAGTGAGCAGTTGAGCTTATTAGTTATATTATGCACATGAGTGCTGAAAGAAAGATCAGAGTCAAGCCACAGGCCAAGATACTTAACCTGGCTAGTATGTTTTATAGGAGTTTTATCCAAAAATAAAATATTTAGTGAGTTTTCTAAAGAATTCTGTTTCATTTTAAAAAGCATTGAAAATGATTTTGATTTGTTAAGTAGAAGCTTATTAGACAATAGCCACCTCTGAACTGAATCAAAACCATTTTGTAATGTAGTGCTGATGTCACATATATTAGATTTAGAACAATAAATGACTGTGTCATCAGCATAAAGCTGAATATTGCATCCAGTACAGCTACGCGGAAGATCATTGATAAATATTGAAAATAATAAAGGCCCCAAAGAGGAGCCTTGAGGAATTCCTCTATCAATGACTGTGAACTGAGACAAACTGCCCCCAAAGGACACACACTGGCGACGATTATGTAAATAAGAATTAAACCAAAGCAAGGAAGAGGTAGACAAACCAAAAGAGTACAATTTGTCTAAAAGTAAATAATGATCCACTAAGTCAAAAGCTTTAGTAAGATCTAGAAACAACGCACCTGTACACATACGATTATCAAAACTCAAGAACACATCATTAGTAAATTTAAGAAGGGCTGTAGTGGTAGAAAAATGTTTTCTGAATCCAGATTGGCATTGAGATAATAAATCATTATTAGCTAAATAATTCGATAATTGGGTAAAAATTATTTTCTCAAAAACTTTTACAACACTGTTTATGATTGAAATTGGTCTGTAGTTATTAATATTATCAGACTCGCCACCTTTATGAAGTGGAATAACTTTTAAAATAACAAAAAATATCGGTATTATTACAAATTAACCTAAAAATGACACAATTGAAAATAGAGATATAGTACACAGTATGTTTTTCTCTTAATTACGGTTGCAGCATTATGCAAAAATACAGAAATGTACTACTAGTCACATCCAGATGATGGCAGTCAGATATCATTACACACAAACGGATACATAGATATACTCTTTTACAGTAAAAACATGTGTTAGCGTTAGCATGCAACGGCTTCCATTGGTGAACTAAAATCTTCAAGTTTTCTTTCTTCCTTTTCCAGACTGCTCTGATGTTTTTGTATCACACCATGTACTTGTCCCACAATATTTCATTTATTTTGTTTCATAGTTGATGTATCATAAAGTTTCGTATCAAGTATTTATTACGTTTTTTAGCACGTCGCCACCCTAAGCATCTCTTTAAAATGCATTTTTCTGGCCTGCTGACAAGATTAGATGTCTGCTACAGTAGTTGCATTTGCTCACATACTGTACTTAGCAGCTTACTTCAGGAAACGGGCAGTAATATGTGCATGCAAAGAGCCAGTAGAGTCACATGATGAAACCCTCAGAAAGCATATTGACTGAGTACCACATTTAGACAGACGTGCAAAAGACCCAGGAAGAACATAAAATGGACAGCAGCATCTACATGATCCTTTTTCTCTTTCTTCATGAAGTTTGTAAGTACAAAATAACAAAAAGTTTTCTTTAATGACAATATAGGACATATTTGATAATTCTTTAACTAAACATTTACATGCCGTCTTAGCCAACCATGTTATTTATTTTCCCGACAGGTGAATATAATTGCAGTGTTGCTCATGTGGATCAGGTTTTAACCGCTCAAGAGGGGGACAGTGTGTTGATATCTTGTCTTCTTTCAGAGAATCAGGTACACCGAGCATTATGGTATAAACAGGTTCTTGGAGAGAAACCTGTCCTAGTAGTGTCTTCATATCACTACTCTCAACCGAATGAATTTTCTCCAGACTTTAAAGAAACTCAACGATTTCATGCAGTGCGAACAGCTGGTAGTTTTAACTTAACCATCCTGAGGACTTTGAAATCTGATTCAGGCACGTACTTCTGTGCCGCTGCCCTTGCCAACGTGGTTTCCTTCGAGACTGGAACTATTCTGATGGTTAAAGGTGAGGATTTTAAAACTTTTTTTTTTTTTTATAAAGATGGGTGATTCCTTTTATTGTCAATGTCTATTGTTTTTTCCCCCTTCCTTGTAGGTGCAGACCTACAAACTGCTGTTATACAACAGCCTGTGCTTGGTGTTATCAAGCCAGGAAGCAATGTGACTCTGCAGTGCTCGGTGCAAGTGAAAATGTGTGATAAAGGAGTACAACTAGTCTACTGGTTCAGACAGGGTTCAGACACAGTCCATCCAGGAATGGTTTACACTCATGGAGACAGGAACGACGAGTGTGGAAAGAACTTGGCAGCCTCCACTTCTAAAGCGCAGAGCTGTCTCTACAACCTCCCCAAGATGAACGTGGGTCTCTCTGATGCTGGAATGTACTATTGCGCTGTGGTAACTTGTGAAGAAGTTGTATTTGGAAACGGCACAACGTTGGTCATTAAAGGTAATTGCCTTTTTTTTCTTATTTTTTTTTTGAGAAGTGCATTTTTATCCAAAGCGGCTTGCGAAGTAAGAACACCTCAAACTATTTATCATAAGAGCAATATTTGCAGTACATAATGCCAAATTTCAAAGATAATTTAGATAAGTACACATATTAAAATGAGTTATAGATAGATAGATAGATAGATAGATAGATAGATAGATAGATAGATAGATAGATAGATAGATAGATAGATAGATAGATAGATAGATAGATAGATAGATAGGAAATAGAACGATAGATAGATGTCTTAAGTCATAAAACAAAGTCTTTCTTTAATTTGTAGGAAACCTTTTCATAAAGTAAAATCCCTTTTAAAGAAAACAATGAAGTCAAAGTATGAATATAATCAAACTTAAACTTTTAAACTTAATTTAACTAAATATAAGTTCTAACATAACACTCTATGCAGATTTATAAAGTTGCACAATGTTTATTGTGTTTCAGATGAATTTAATAATGAGAGTCTGCAGTATTTTATTGTGATTGGCCTTGCAGTGGCGTTTACAATCAGCCTTATCATCAATCTGATGCTCTGCTTACCAATGAGAAGAAAAGGTAAGTTATTTTAATTCAAGTTTATTATCCACAATAATAATCCTCTTATTAGAAAATATGCGTTTATATAATAGAATAACTCTTTTCGTACTGCTTTATTTGATTTCTAACAGTTAGAACGCCTCAACAAATCCTGACTACTAATGACGATACAACCAGAGTTGAGGTTAGGAGAATCATATGTGTGAATAACAGTTAACCTGTGAAATTATTGAAAAGAGTGCTGAAAAAAGTCTCTTTCTTTCTTCTAGTATGACATTAACTATGCTGCCCTGAACTTTTCCACAAAAAGAGGTCAGAGAAAGAGGACCTCAGAGGAGACGGTGTACTCTAGACCCATGTTGCGCGATAATATCTGAAACCTATTGCCTCTGATTGTCGAATCACATCATATTTAACGCAAACTCCAGGAGTGCATTAAAAAATACAGCATATTTGTGACTCTAATGATAAAACTTCCTCTGCTTATTATGCAACGTGTTAAACGTGTTAACATTTCTGTATAAAAGAAACAACGTGCAAAATTATATATAAAAAAGCATAACCACATCCTGTTAGGGTATATGTGAAAGTAGTGTGTTCATCAACTTGAATAAACATCTCAACTTTTTTTAGGTCAACCTTCTCTAATTCATTTATTCATCCCCAACACTGTATGGTTACTTCCTCTACAACGCAGCATGTGTGTTAAATAGTTCATCTCAATGCTATGCACTCGATTTGACCTTCCGCTTCCAGTAAAAGTAGTACAGGAGATATCAACTATATTTAACATATCATTCAAGTCAAGTTACCTTTATTCATATAGTGCTTTATACAATACAGATCGTTTCAAAGCGTGATAACAGAAAAAGTGAATAGTTTCATTGTTCAGTTGAAGTCAGTTCAGTGTAGATTCAGTTCCATGTAAAGATAATCAGTAACTCAATATTTTCATGTTTTCTGCAGAAAACAGTGATGTCATCGTCCATCTCAGTTCAGTTCAGTTCTCCAATAGTGTCAGTGGAGTCAAATCAATAATATTGTTGACTATTAAGTGTCCCCGACTAAAGAATCCTGCGGCGACCTCCTTCTTTACTCATCATGCTCAGACTGCCGAGAAATAAATTCAACATGAGTCAGCACTTTTAACACATTTTACTTCGGTAATAATGTGACATACTGTATTTGGAGAAAAAGAGATGGTGCATTTTTGAGGTTAATTTCCATGCAAATCATAGAACTGGTTTCCATAGTTTCAGCGGAAGACTTGTCTTCTTCTTTGGAATAGTAAAAGTACATTTTCTTTGGAATAGTAAAAGTAAATTTGGATTAGATTTGGATTAATGCTGACCAGACATTTTTATTTCCAATACGAGAACAGGATGCACCTCACCTGAAAAAGTCACATGACATATTAAAACAAGAAAAAAAATCAAAGACAGGACTTGCTTTTGTACATTGGCAATTGATTGGATGGTTGTGGTTTGCTATTGGTTGATCTTATGTGAGTGACAGGTTTCCCCGCCCTCGCACAGTAGTACACGTCATTAGAGAAGAGAAAAATGATGTGCAATGATAAATCATTTATTATAATTAATGCAAATTAATTGTCATTATGTCATAGGCCTAAACCTGGCTTAGGCCGTGTGTCCGCCGATGCTCTCCTGAAGACGCCGTGCTTTGGGCGCTTGAGAGCGTTTTGGCAGCGCAGCGTTTGTTCTGTTGAGACGTTTCGTTGCTATGATACAGAATATCCGCAGCACAGTTTGAATGTGGTGACGGTTGGTCAGTGTGGTTTAGTCCCGCCCCTCCTCCACTGTGATTGGACGGCTGGGTAAAAAGTGACAGTGATGAGCGCTCCGTTTTATCCAAAGTTGAAAATTTTTCAACTCCCAGTGACCAGTAAAAAACGCCGGGCGCTCGGCGCTTCAGCGTGAAAAAAACGCATGGCGTTTAAAAAACACTGCGCTCCCATTGAAAACAATTGAAAACATACGCCAGGAGCGTGGAAAAACGCTTTGGTGGACACACAGCCTTAATCCAAACCTTATCTGTTAAACCGGGCCTTGGTTCAGTTAGGACAGTTAGGACGAAACATCGGTTTGTGTAAGAAAAATATCCATATTTAAAACTTTATGACGTCCGAAGTAGCGCAGTGCGTCATGGCGTAGCGTAAATATCACAGTCCGTCACATTACTCCATAAGTTGCACTTTAGGCTTATGTCGAATCTGTATGTTTGTTTGACCTAAGGCTAGTTATTTTTCTTTATATACGTTTTAAATATTGATATTTTTCTTCAGACTGATCTCATGAAGTAGCGTATGTAAGACACGCCAATTCGTATTTCCATTTTTGGCGTGCTATCAAGACGTATAATCGCTTTTCAGCGTGTTTATGAACGCCATTGACTTAACGTTATTACTGTATATATAAATATATGACTTGCCTCAACCCCGTCCCTAAACCCAACCGTCACTGGAGTTAATGGCATTTATGACTGTTCCCTTACCATTCTAGGAAAAAAAAAAGATCGCTCCCCAGATGTAGATCTACATTTTGCTTCGTTTCGCGCGGACATTTTACGGCGTGTACAGACACGCGGAATCACTCGGACGTTAATGCCGTAGACATACACGCATACACGCAGATACACGCGGATAGCTCAAAATGCGTAGAGATGTTTACGCAAAAGTCATGATGTCATGTTGTTTTTCTTACACAAATGCATCGCTTCGCTTCAGAAGGCCTTTATTAACCACCCGAAGCCGTGTGGAGCACTTTTATGATGGATAGATGTATTTTTATGGACTTCAAAACAGAAACAACCATTCACTGCCATTATAAAGCTTGGAAGAGCCAGGACATTTTTTTTTAACATAACACCGATTATTTTCGTCTAAAAGAAAAATGTCATATACAGCTAGGGTGACTTGAGAGTGAGGCTACTGTCCCTTTAAGTGGCTTTTATAAATGTGCCTTTAAAAACATTGCTAGTATGGATCAGAGACTAAACAATGGCATTGGCCTATTAAGATATGCAAGTTGATTTTAGTTAAAAGACAGCTCAAACATGCATTTTAGACGGACTAGACTGAAGCCCCGTCTGTGAAGCCGGCCATCAGTGATTTTAAACATGAAACATGATGAGGTCATGTGATCACAGTGTAGTAAACTACTATTATAAGCTACCAGGTGATGGCAGTGAGGGATCACAAAAATAGAAAAACTGATTTTCTACCTTGATTTACAACATATTATGCCATTTATGGTTGTAAATGTACTTATACAATATTCATTCATCATTATATAAAGATTTACAGTATAATCTCCCAAAACACGCTTCCGTTTATTTTCATTCATTTAAACACAGAAGTTTTGTTTGTGTTTTTGATAACTTATTATATGTTTATAATAGATAGTCTCTTTCAGGGTTTAAATTGTGGGTTAATAGTTTAGTTCTTGAACAACTATGCTACCAAAAGCTCTGCAGATTCCACCAAAAAACAAAAACACTGAAATTTTACCATTATCACTCGTATACTGACTGTAAAATGTTACGTAACATATTCATTAACATATTTCAAGGTTAAACTGATTTTATGTTTCTTTGGTTGAGTACACATGCATGTCAGCTATTGGCCCCCCTCTGACATGTGTTATAAAGAGAACATTTGCTTTGTCTGATGTTTAGCTTATTATGTGTATTGAGCGTATTGCACAATGTTAGTTATTCCAAATGTGTATAACTTAATTTCCAGTCAGTTTTAATCATGTTATATAAATTGGTATAAATATCAGAACAGATCATTTAGATTAAAGAATATACCGTGATGTAACACATCTGTGTTAAAAGTAAGTTGAAGAAGGAAATGACCCGTTAGCTCAGAGAGCCAATGGAAACATGTCACAAGGCTTCCAATCGAGAAGGTTTCACACAGAGAAGGTTTTAGAGAATTAACCTTCTAAGTTTGTGCCCTGGAGCTCATTATGAAAATGAATGTCATTCTACTCACTATATGCGTTCTCTTTAATAAACCATGTAAGTACACATATTTTTTTATTTACAAATGTAAAACAGTAATGTTTTTTTCTTAAGCTTTTCATTGTGTCGTCTATGTAGAAATGCATTTAAGTAATGACTGCTATTAAATATTTTACAGCAATGCAACATTCTGGAAGTATTTTGCAGATGGGGGATGTAACAGTTCAAGTGGGTGATGATGTGGCATTTCACTGCTTTCACCCAAAAGACCAAATTAATAGAGTATTGTGGTTCAAACAGACTCTGGGAGAAAAGCCTGCTCTTGTAGCCTCTTCATATCACTGGTCTCAAGACGGTGAACTTCATGATGAGTTTGGAAAGATAAAGCGCTATAAAATAAATTCAGGGCCTGGCAGCTTTAATCTAACCATTGAAAGGACTGTACAATCCGATTCAGCCACATATTATTGTGCAGGTTCCTCTATGAACATTGTCTACTTTGGAGCTGGAGCTAATCTGGTGCTTAGAGGTGAGCGGTTAACATTAGACTAACCCTTTTGGGAATTAATCACATTTTACAGCCTTAAATTCATTATCTTCCTTCAATAGGTTCTGAATCCAACCAGATTCATATTCTTCAGGAAAAGCAACCTGGAAGATCATCATCAGATGGAAATGTGACTCTGCAGTGTACAATCCAAAGTGAAGAAGAGAGTTGTGGAGGCGAACACAGGGTCTATTGGTTCAGACCCGGTTCAGAAAAATCCAGTCCAGGAATCATTCACGCTCAAGAAAGTTGTAAAAACAGCTCTGTGACTGCTTCTCCTTCCAGGAGCTGTGTCTACAGTCTCTCTATGAGAAACATCAAGCCTGGGACTTACTACTGTGCTGTGGTCGCATGTGGGGAGATTTTGTTTGGACACGGAATTACTCTGGATATCGACGGTAAGTGTGGTAAATACAAGAAATCGCATACATCTTTATGCCCTGTTTTATGGATGATGATGCAGTATGACTTAATTCTATGTCAGTTCTTCTAGTTCTTCTTATAGTGTAATGCCTAAACAAATACTGTCCATTTATGATCAAAAACACTGTATAGTACAACAGAGTACTTTAGTGTTATTGTAAACGGGGATTATTGTTGAATGTTGATATAGAATACAGATTTTCTACTGATGAAAAATGATTTGGATGCGTCATATTGTTGTACATGCAGTAGTGGCCAAAAGTTATATGAGGGAAACCCAAAACCAAACTTATTTTGCAAAAAGGGGCAAACTTCAGCTACAGGTTTTATTGGACTGTGCAAAGGAAAAAAAAAGGTTTGCACAATTTGGTATATTTAAATGCTTCGTCACCAATAAAATTGACTACGTGCACAACTGTGCGATCTGTTTCATTTTTTTGCTATGATAAACCCTATAACAAATGGTTAATAATTTTTGGATATCACTTTTGGCCACTACTATAGTACCACACTGTAAAAAAAAATATATTTTCAAGATTTGTTATCAATTTTTTTCTTGTCAAATCAACTTAAGTAATTTATTTAGTTCAGATAACTTATTATTTTGAGTTTCTGATGATTAAATTAATCTCCTTCATTGTATTAACTCACTTTTTCCAGTTAAATCAACTTAAAATTTTAAGGCAACCAGGTTACTTTTACTTAAGTTAAACCAACAATATTTTTTTTACAGTGCAGGACATAATTCAGTTATTTTATTGTTTCAGATGGACATAACTTGCACTTCTACATTCTCATTGGCCTTTCACTATTGCTGGTCATAAGCTTCATCATTAATGTTCTACTTTGCGTGACAAAGACAAAAGGTAACCATTGACATGACAAAAATATTCTATAAAAGTGCAAAATATGCGGTATTTTGTATTATTCCCTTTAACAATGACATTTTGAAGTACTAAAGCTTGTCTAAAATTTAATCTTTTAACAGGCAACACATCTCAGCAAGTTCACACAACAGAGTCAAGGGTACAGGTTTGTACAGACACAATTATATGCGTTTCTAAAAGTCAAGTATTTAGTGGTGTAGTGATGTATACATCACTTCATGGAAATGTTTATTAAATATAATATATATATATATATATATATATATATGTATTTTATTTTTAGTACAACAGGACCTCTGATATGAATTATGCTGCCATAAACTTCACAAATTCCCAAAGTTCAAGACAGCAGAGAGTGGAGATGCAATGGCAGACAGAAAACTCTGGACTGGAATTAAACGATTCTGCACCGTAACTGTATTTGTACTGTATTTCAGTACTGTATTTGTAATTGCTAATATTGTTTCTCAACCAGAGCCATGTACATTTATGTTCTGAAATAATTATGAAATTTAAATGTCTCTTTATTCTGTTGAAATAACCACACCCATGCATTGTGCTCTTTCTTAATGTGTATTAATGTACTGTATGAGAATAAAGTGTCTTATTTTTCCAGAAAAAAAAACCCACTTTTGTTTTGTTTTGATGAATGTTAGATAAGATGCACCACAAACCACACGGTCTGCAAGTTAGGTCAGTTGCACCCCTGTGCTGTGGTAAGATCTAATCAACAGACCAAACTAGAAGAGCTTTAGCCAGCCCTCTTTTATTCGACATGCATGAGACTGCCAGCAGTAACTTTGGCCTGTTTAACACCTACTCAACTCTTCATTTCAGAAGTGAGGGGGACAGAAAATGTTTTGACCTTTGTCTTATTGACAGGTTTTCTCTTTCTTTTAATTGGCAAAGAAATCAAAAACACACCGCTGAACAATAACCACTTCTACAATATGTTTCCCTATATTTTCCTTATGACAATTTTATGTACTACGAACACTTGTGCAGTGAGTCATCATGAATTTTATACAATGTGATTTTTGTTTTAAATCACAGAATAAGGCAGAAAATATTCTATTTTATAGTTTCTATAACTATAAAACACTGTAAAAAGGCTGCCAGTTAGCACTGCAGAATTCATGCACTTCATTGTTATGGCTTCAAATACACACATAAACCATCTATTGTCGCAATTGTGAGTTTACCGTCTTCACGTTTCATCAGTCAAAGCGTTTCTGCTTTTTATTTTGCTACAGCGATAGCTGAAAGCCTTTGGCCATTTAATGGGTTTCCTGGAACATCATAAGTTATTACATGTCCGTTTTGGACTCTGCAAGACGGCGCCCTTCCAGTACGAATGAGACATACGGTTTATTACATGAATGTTTGGTGCTCCATATAATATTCAAATTTTCTAGTTTTGGATACGAATAAAATGTTAGGTCATGTATAGACTATCTTGTCTCTTTGAATTTAAATCTAGATTTATTCACGTAGGCCAATGAAAACCTCTATGTGAACACGCATATGAAGGGAGGGTGGGATCTCATGCTTTCAAAGCTAACTTTCTATTGCTAGCCAGGACAATCTCTTCATTTCATCCAAGTCCAGCAGAAAAGTGAGAGAGGAAGAGATGTAATGGAAAGTGGTCAGGCTAAACATGTGTCAAACTGAAACGGGGGCGGCACGAGTGAACTTCATCATTTCCTGCTGAGTGAGTGACAGGAAGAAACTGCTTAGTGTAGAGCACAAACGGCTGCTGTCAACATCAGCGGATCAGCTTTGTATCATGTACTCAACTGTTATCAAAATACATTATTTGAATTATTTTAGCTTTATATAATTAATAGAATTTATTAGAACATAATATAATTAATCCTGTGATCATTAATTCATTTTTTTAGAGTCCACATAAATGGTTACTTGTAATTTGTCCCACTTTTATAGTATTACTGTTTGTTGATTTTTTTTTTTTTAAATATTTCTTAGATCTAAACTAAAAGCATAACCAGGCACAAATATATATATATATATTTAGACTACATAGAAATATTTTAAAAGTGCTAAAATTAAAACTTTTTTAATATATATATTTTTTTTATCACAGAATAACGCAGGAAATATGCCTTAAAATAAAAGGCATATATAAAAGGTATATGTTTAATTAAAAATGGAAAATAATAAAGTGGATCAGGACCTTTTCTCGGCACTGTAAATGAGCACACATGGTTTAAGTAGTTTCCACCCACAAGACCCATTTATTGTTTTTTTTTTACAACAACTTGCTTCATCAAAACCACAACAAAAATACTTTTTGTCTTCACATCCCTTTCCATTACCAAAAAACACAAATAGCTCACCCTGCTCAGAAGGAACGTTAATTACAAGAAGCTTCCGAGATCTTTTTGGACATTTTCTTTATATATAGTATCACTAAAGATGTGCATCTCCAATTCATGTGTTTATATAAACACGTTGAGCTGTCTAAATAAATACACAAGGAATTATGCACTATTTTAATCCATTTTCATACTTTGTCAATTTAATGTTAATAATAAACTAGGGTACACCATGAAACTTTTTTTTATTTATTTTTTTTAACTGTTACTGTATTTTATTTTTTATTCTAAACGGTTTTAATTATTTACTGTATTTAATTTTTTTATTCTAAATTCTAATTTTTTTTAATTATTCTGATTTATATTGATTATTTTAAAGCACTTTGAATTACCATTGTGTATGAAATGTGCTATATAAATAAACTTGCCTTGCCAATTTCACAATTAAAAAAAATGTAAATGACTCAATGCATCATAAATCCTTCTTCCAAAACATGTTTTTTTTTTCTTAGCCTGGTAAGCCTATAAGTATGACATTTTAGACTGAGCTGTCATTCTATGCACTGCAGTAATAGAAAGCGAGTAAATATTAAAAATTATAATTTCATGCCATGACCGTGGCGTCGAGAACATGTGTGATTTAGCCATGCAAACTTACTACACCGTTTGATTCTAGCATTTAATGCGGAGGAGGACTTATGTGGACTGGACTAGGATGAACACAGCCTCACTAGGATTCAGTTTCAGACGCACCCATGTTGTACTTTTGAACATTTATCATTTTTCAGTACTGCTTTCATACCTTACCTTATTCGGCTCCTATTGCTGCTCAAAACGGAACTGCATGAGCAAGAAGAAAAAAACGCAAGTTAGAATATTACATCAGAGATATTCTATATATGTAGTAATTAAAAAATAATATACAGTTTTTTATTTTATCACACATTTTAACACTAAAAGTTACTTCCTCTTTTTTGTTTATGCTTCTTTAAAGGCTGTATATATATATATATATGACAAATGCAATAAGTGTGTGCTGTATTTTATTTTCTTATTTTTTAATTGCATAAAAACTGGCATTACAGATCCGCAACGTCAACTTTGAGTTCACAGTGCAGACCGTCAGTCTCAGGGTTGCGTTTGTGGTCAGTGCATGAAAGTAAAATATAGAATGGAAAGATCAAGCAGGCAGCCTTCACTGGAGCTCAATCTTAGTGGTCAAAAGTTTCCATAGCATCTGATGTTGCTAAAAAAAAAGGTGTCAAAAACAGTCGCATGCATTTGCTTAGTTGCTTAGTCTGTTTATCACTACCACATGTGAAAGACTACAAAGAACTACAAAGACTTTTGATTTCAGGTGTTACATTTCTTCTCATGGGGCACTGCATGACAAAGCTTTTCAGAAGTACAGTTTAGCCTACTAATATGAACACGTTAAAACCTCACCTTTCTGGTGCTTATCGGCTTGTCTATGGCAGACCAAAAATAGGTGCATGTGCGTAAAGGGTTTTATTTAAAAACAATGTAATGTATGTAACCCTCAAATAATGATAAAAAATAAAAATAAAAAAAATAATAAAAACTATCAGTCAGGTTTTATTGTTAACAAGTAGTCCATGCCTCAAACTCGCACCATCGGTTAAGCCAACGTCGCCGTGTCATAATGCTAAAACAACAACACATTAATATTTTGACAGAGCCACAGTGTTTCAAATTAACTTACTAATATTTCTGCATAAACCGTGATAGGAGATTTTAACATGTTTTAACATAATTTTAAAGGTATTTTAAAAGTGTATTAGTGCACTTTACTCTTTATTTTACAAATTACTAACAAAATATCAAGAGTAGGCCTTGTTCCTCTATAGTTGAGTAATAAACTGCTTTAAAACCTTAGACTCATAAATGCATAAATAAATATATATTAAACAAATTATTTATGCTTATTTCGTATTTTATTGATTAGTTATACTGCAGAATGAAGAAAAGGTGATAAAGACAATATCAACATTCATTCGTTAACCAAAGAGGATCATATGTGATCTGCTGTATGATATGATTATATCATATTCAGTTTATTTGCTGTAGGAAACTAATTAAGGTGCATCAAAATATTGCGTCTTGTGCTGACAAATCGGCACAGCATCAAAAATTACAGTGTAGTTTCATGTAGTTTCAGGACCATGGACAGAGATATTCTATGTCAAAGGTTACAGTGCTAATACATGTGACCCAAATCGATCTATTAGCACTGCTGCCACGAACGGCTGTAATAAAGGTGAAGGAACGGATCTATTCGTGGATTATACAGAACTCAAAACACTAGAAAAAGAACAACCATTGCATAGTTGTCTGGTTGTCGGATGTCCAATGTGGTTTCGGACACCACTACAAATGGCTGTCCCCTCAAATAGCTAATAAAGTACTTTTCTGAAAACCCCTTTTCTGAAAAAATGCTAGGTTGTTTTAACCCAATTTTGGGTCAAATATGGACAAACCCAGCCATTGTGTTACATTTTTAAATTACATTTTTAACCCAATGTTTGAGTTAGTCCATATTTGACCCCAAATTGGGTTAAAACAACCCAGCATTTTTTAGAGTGGGGTTTCCAGAAAAGTTTGTCAAAATTTGTCAACGACTACTAAAATCTTAATTTCTCAGGCTCTATAGCAGATAAAAACATGGAATAAAAGCTGCTACCGCTCAAAATGATGCAGACGTGTTTGCCGGGCGATCCGGTCTTAAAAGGTAAACACACACAGATGTGTGATCTGGTTTAAATGGGTTAAGGATATAGGGGCGAGATTTCGAACACAGCTAAGGAATAACCAAGGAAACTAATTGAAAAGACAGGAACGTGAACTAAAGTAGTGAAAACAGATTTAAACAGACAAAGAACACAGATAATGTCTTACAAACTTTTTTGTCGACAGAATTCATTTAAACTGTGGTTGGAAGCACTCTGCACTTAAAACTGTGTCAAGCCCAGGAAATGAGCACGATTTGCTGACTTAGAAAATCATGTGACCTTACCAGGTATAAGTGCATATAACAGTTAACTGTGCGAGTTACTTTAATTTTCTTAGTCTGAGCAGAGAATGATCTGGATGAAGATAAAATGAAGAAACAATTTTGTTTGATGATCTTCCTCCTGTATGAAGTCTGTAAGTGCAATTTCAATAATATTCACAAACAGTTAAGAAATAATGTTAATGCTTTTCTCTAAAGGTCTAAAATTTTTAATCTTTTAACAGTTGAGACAATACATGGTAACATCATTCAACTGGATTCAGTTATATATGTTCATGAAGGAGATACAGTGGTATTGTCCTGCTCCATTTCATCAACACAAATAAGTCTGGCTTCATGGTACAAGCAAGTCACTGGAGAAGAACCACGTCTCATCGCTTCCTCACTTCTCCATTCATCAGAAAGCCAATTTCATAATGAATTTGACAAAAGTCATTTTGAAGTGTCAAGAGTGACTGAAACTTTTAAACTGACGATCATGAACACCGTACAATCAGATTCAGCCACATACTACTGTACAACATCTTTGTCTAATTACGTTAACTTTGGAAATGGCACTCGTCTGGTTATTAAAGGTGAGTCAGTGTTTATCATCTGCATGTTAAAGTGTTTCTAATGATGATATTGGGAATAAAACTGCTATTTATACAAAACATCATCCATTCAGGAGAAGAAACCAGCAAACCCACTCATCTACAGCTGCCCAAGTTTGAACTAGTTGAGTCGGGGGTAAATGTGCCTCTACAATGTTCAATCCAAAACCAGTTTGTGAGTGGTGGAGGTGAACATCGTCTCTACTGGTTCAGTCATGGATCAGGAGAATCTCCTCCAGGATCCATTTATATTCGTGGAAACACAAGTGATCAATGTGTGGAGAGCTCTGAAGCTGGCTGTCTTTCACCGACCTGCGTGTACAACCTCCCAAAGAGAAAGTTCAGTTCATCATCAAATGCTGGAATTCACTTCTGTGCACTGGCCACGTGTGGAGAGGCTTTATTGGGAAATGTTCCTAAACCGAATCCTGGTAAACATTTGATTATTTCTTCTGTACTTATATTTGAAGATGGCATGTTTTTATAGTCAAGAGTTTTGTAAGAGTTAAACAGAGAAAACAGACCTAAATAATGTTTTGCTTACAAAAATATAAAACCAAATAACTATTTCTCTTCTCAATCTTTAGCCTCAAATGAGATCCAGACAATACAATTCATTCAAATCGGTCTTGCAGCAATACTGGCAATAAGTCTTACCATCAATATACTGCTTTGTTGCTTGAGGAAAAATGGTAAGCATTTTGATTCATTTATAGCATCATTTACATTAATATTGTTACAAAATAGTGTAAGAATTGCCTGATTAATAATGTATCTTTGTTTGATTATTTATTATATATAAAAAGCTGTAATATTTGAACATTTATTTTTTTTAAGCCACGTGTAAGCAATGCCGTTCTCTCTTTTAAAGATAAATTCTCAAACTGTAATATATCTCCATTTAAAACACGGAGAAAATCTCAACAAATACAGACTACTGATGGGGATGATAATGATGATGTGTCAATAAATCAGGTAATTTAAAACAGATTGAAGCCACTGATAATGCATCTACAATGAGTGATATGATAAATAACACTGTGGAAATCTGCCTTTTCTTTTAGAAGAGGGAATTGACTTATGCTACTGTACATACTGCTACTGTATCTGGCAGCAGACACTCAAGAGTCAAGAGGATGAGCGTCCCCGAAGACACACTGTATTCTGATTTAGCATGTCAACAGCAAAGCTGAAAACTACTTTATATTTACCAGCATTTAGTTATATTGCTCTGTATGCACAAATATTTACTTCCCTTAAAAAAAAAAAAGAAGAAGAAGCATATCAGATTGTATCAAAACAAAAACTGCAAAAGCACAGTATCAGAAGTAAAGACAATATCATCATAAATATTTGTTTGTCACCTGGTCGGATGTTCAGATACCTGCTATGTCCAGAATTTTTATATTGTCTTTCATTTTTTGCTTATGTTTGCATGTGGGTGAGAGAATGAGATAAATGTATGAGAGAAATGCATGTCTGGAAAATAAAGGTATGGTGCAAAGTGCTAAAGGCTCCTTTTTAGGTTAAACTTTCTCATAAAATACTACAGCAACAAACACCACAGTTTTCAACATTTTTCTTCTCATTCAAGTCAAGTCACCATTATTTTTATTGCAATTTATATAATTAATTTAAAAGCAGATGCACTATAATAAACAGGATTTAACATAATTATGGACGCAAACTTCACCAAACATGAGACAAATTTAAATTATGCTGTAAAGCAGCTGTAGTGAGATAGCTATTCTCATACATGCAATAAATTAATTATATAAAACGAATGTTAAAAGTGATTGACATAATGATGCTATGATGATACAACATTTTGATTATATGGTAGGCTACGATATTTGCCATTATATTCTTTTTTTTTATTTGTTATTACAGTCATGTTTTTTTATTTAAATTTCAAACTGATTTTATAATTTCTTCTCACATAAATCGTAGGCTATTGAACAATAAATATTTAAGTTGGTTAAAGTGGTAATTTTATTTATTGGGGAAATCGAGCTAAAGCCAAAAAGATATATTAGGCCTATTGCGTCATTCAACAATGTAAACATTCACCGCGCGCGCTGTCGGTCTAGTCAGATAGTTTGCTGCTGATTCTGCCATTTCTGTCAAATACAGACTATTTTCGCTGTACAACACGTTTTAAATAATTATTCATATATGCATCAATTTAACGAGAAGACAATGCGGTGTAGCTGTTTTGGAAGAAACTAATAAGGCCTAACTGTACCTGTCTCAGAAGCAATCGTTTCCTCCGACGCCATGTTTAAAGTTTATGGACCACTTATCAAGATTATTCCCGAGTTTTCCAGTGGTAAGTACGATTCGAGAGGGCGTTCATGTCCAATTTCTATCAAAGAAACTATTTTTTTTTTTTTTACGATAATCTGTCGGACTTGAAGGAAGCATTAGTCCTATTGTACTGCCTGAGGCAAAAACGTTTCATTACTTTCTCAATACACAAATCCTTGTTTTGACATTATTTTAAGCTAAAGTGAGAATTTTACAAGTCATAAGTTTCCTATTAAAACCTTGAAAAGACGGATTATATCAATACATTTTTGAGAAGAAACAATTCAAATCAATATAAAAAAAAATTTGGAAATTAAATAAATGGCTTTAAGAATCAATTAGCCCATCTACACTAGATCTTGCACCAACATCCAAAAACCACAAAGTGGCAGCAGAGACCATATATTCAGTGCAAACGGCCTACAGATGAGGACAGGTATTTTATATCAATGGCAGATTTTTATTATCTATTCAAAATCAAAACAACATAAGCACTGATTTTGGAAAATGCAAATTATAAGAATTTTCATTGTATTCTTTACAAATCTAAGCCTATGTGAGAAAACGGGGTGAATACATACAGTAGCTGTGGTGAAGAAAATGAGACCATCAAGACAGACAACATAAGTTTGTGGGCAGTTTATAAACTTGACTTTTTATAAAAACATTTTTTTTTTAAACTAAGCTTAACAGATAACAGTCTGAACTCTAATTTTATCATGTTGACAATGTATGTGTGCACAGATCTATTTGACACCGAATCATCTGTAATTATCACGTCCTTTAAATAAAACCAATCCATGTAAAAGCGAGAACACAACTGTTCACCTAATGAGGCCAGGTTTGTATTTTATCATAGACTGCATAGTCTAATCTGCGGTTGCAACTGTGTCAGGTCCAGGAAACGGGTGATAGTGCTAACAGGACAGAATCATGTGACAGTGCTGTTCTTCAAGACTTATGTTATAGGCTACAACATTATATAACTGTGGTTGCGCTTCTGTTCCCAAACTGAAGAAGAAAATGGATAAAAAACGTTGTGTGATGGTTTTACTCTCAATGGAAATGTGTAAGTATATTTCTATAATTATGATTTTTCAAATTAGTCTGATATAAATGTTTCATTTTAGTTGTTTGATGCACAATGTTCATTATTTTACAGTGATTGGACTATATGGAAACATCATTCAACTGGATTCAGTTTTATCAGTTCATGAAGGAGATACAGTGGTATTGTCCTGCTCCATTTCATCAAGACAAATAAGTCTGGCTTCATGGTACAAGCAAGTCACTGGAGAAGAACCACGTCTCATCGCTTCCTCACTTCTCCTTTCATCAGAAAGCCAATTTCATAATGAATTTGACAAAAGTCATTTTGAAGTGTCAAGAGTGACTGAAACTTTTAATCTGAAGATCATGAACACCGTACAATCAGATTCAGCCACATACTACTGTACAACATCTTTGTCTAATTACGTTAACTTTGGAAATGGCACTCGTCTGGTTATTAAAGGTGAGTCAGTGCATGTCAACTTCATGTTAAAGTGTTTATAATGATGATATTGGGAATAATACTGTTATTTATACAAAAATATCATCCATGCAGGAGCAGAAACCAGCAAACCCACTCATCTACAGCTGCCCAAGTTTGAACTAGTTGAGTCGGCGGTAAATGTGCCTCTACAATGTTCAATCCAAAACCAGTTTGTGAGTGGTGGAGGTGAACATCGTCTCCACTGGTTCAGTCATGGATCAGGAGAATCTCCTCCAGGATACATTTATATTCATGGAAACACAAGTGATCAGTGTGTGGAGAGCTCTGAAGCTGGCTGTCTTTCACCGACCTGCATGTACAACCTCCCAAAGAGAAAGTTCAGTTCATCAGATGCTGGAATTCACTACTGTGCACTGGCCACGTGTGGAGAGGCTTTATTAGGAAATGTTCCTAAACTGAATCCAGGTAAGTGTGAGCTTTTCAAGATCACATAGAAAATAATTCAGAAAGAAAATATCAGCCCTACAGTGCATATAATGTGTTATGTATATGAAATATTGTTTCTCGTGATTTAGACAACCCCAAGAGCCAGAACACACACATAATCTTTATAGCTGTCCTTACGGTGCTGCTGACATCAAACTTCACGATCAATATTCTGCTGTGCTGCATGAGGAGGAAAGGTAAGCGCTTGTTAGAAGTCTTGCTACAATCAACAGTTTGTGTTACGGCATCTACTGAGAAGTTTAAATATTCGGCAAACGTTTTTTAATATATACATTTTTCTTAGTCAGATGTCCCCTATATTAGAATTAGACCATTTATGTGAGGGCTAACCGTTGTGTGTTTTATTACAGAGTCTATTAGTGCGATAGACGGCAAATATCAGCAAATCCAGATTACTGATGATGATGTGTCAATAATTCAGGTTTGTGAAATGAAACTCTCCAGATGTAAAAAACACTTTTAATATATTTGTGATGATTTATCATTATAATTTTGTGGAAGTTCAAATTATATTGTCTGGAATGTTCTTTTTTTGTGTAGTATAAGGAAGTGAACTTCACCCATCACCACCAAACACTCAAAGAGTGAAGAGAAACAAAAGACATGTGATGGCAAAACCATGGCAAAAATAAAAACACAAACCGGCTGTATTTTAGCTAGTATTATTCAGTAATAGCCATCATTTCAATTTTTTTTGATCAGTAATTATAGTTATTAATGGGCTGATATGTTGTAGTGACTTAAAGACCAGCCACAGTTAATATTTTTCTCAATATCTTATTGCAATAATTACATGTATACATTTTTTATTTGCTTTGTTCATGTAATAAACCTTAACATCTACAATAATTTAAACATTCTATGCATTCTGTCTATGCCACCACTGTACAATTAGTCAACTTTTGTTCTTATAAATGTATTCTACAGATATATGATGGCATAAATAAAGTACTTTCCATATGAATTGTTGTGTTCTGTGTATTTTTGCTGTGTTGTGAAATAGAAGGTGAATAGATCCAATGATCTACAACCACTAGGTGGCAGTAAAGACCATGTGTTAAATTCAGCATTCAGTAAGACCCTCTTTTAAAGGGATAGTTCAACCTCAAGTTGTTCCAAACTTGTATGAATGTTCTTCTGTTCATCACAAAAGAAGTTATTCTAAATAATGTTGGTCACTCAACAGACAGTTGATGACACCCATTGACTTAGTATGGGTTTGACTTAGTATGGGTTTGAATTCAATTGCTACCGCCAACTGTTTGAATACCAAGATACCAAGATATCTTGATGAGTGTGAATATAGGGTGAATGAAAGCGCTTTCACACGGGACACAGTTGTGAGTGTCTAATTTTCAATAGGAAACATGTGGAAAGTGGCAAAACGTGGGCGAGTAAAAGCAATAGCCTGGTTAAAACCAGACCATTATCAGTTGTAACTGAGTTATGGTGTGGCAAGGCATCATAGACAAATCATTTCCAGAGGGGCGTCACCAGCGGACGTCATGGGTAGACCTAAAATCAATCAGAGCGATGAAGGAGATGACGTGTGCAGAGTGGCGGCCGGCGGAGAGTGTTGTTCTTTGCTCGGTTTTTAACAAAAAGGAAACGTTCAAATCGCTTAAAAACAGACGCGATAGCTGATTTGAATGAGTGATGTTCGACGGCGGCATCCATCTTTGTGATGTAGGCTACAAAATCTGCTTCAAAATCCCAGCGCTGTCGTCATCGTGTAAAGCCCGCCCCAACGTTTCTGATTGGTGCCGTGATTTCTGCGGACTGGAAATGGGTTTGAATGAGCTCTTTGCTAGACTAATGGCTCTTTCAGACTGCACGATTTTCAAAGTAGTCAGGTCGCTGCTCTTTTCACACTGCATGACTATCTTGGCCAGCATTCAGTCGCTGCTGTGTTCACACTGGACGATGGATCGGCGACAGAAGGTTTCACACTGCATGACTTTAGAAAAATCGCCGACAGACTCTGTCTAGCACGCTGCACGCAAACTACATTACACAACAAACACGCGTGAGATATGAAAAGGAAACAACGCGCGACACCACACGTGCAAGACCGGAGTTCTCACGTGAGACTTTTTTTTCGACCCGGTTGTGGTACAGCTGGTGAAACAGACACGAGTGCTCCTGCCAAATTTCTACTAATTTTTCTTCCATTTATTGTGTCCAAATAGACCGAGAAGAAGCTTTTTTTGTTGAAACAATGCCATATCATGTTGATATGTGATCTATAACTCCTCCCCGAACTCCCTGCTCTGTATCTTGCTCTCTCACTGGCTGCCGGTGATCGCCGATGTAGTTTTCAGTCAAAACACTTTTCACACAGCAGGATTTTGAATCGCCGACAGGTCCAGATATTTAGCATGCCAAATATCTCACGGGCGTCGGCGACTCGTCGGTGATTCTCTCAGTTCGCGTCTTTGTTCATTCACACTGCGTGATTGTCACTCGCGTGAACGAGCGCCGATTTGCCCGTGATTTCGGGCATTTGTCGGCGATTTCTCAAAACCTGTCGGCGAGCCAAAATCGTGGCTAAAATCATGCAGTCTGAACTCGGCATAACTTTCAGAGCAAATCTAAATTTGCTGGAAGTTGTCTGGGTTTTCTGGGTTACAAGCAATGCTCATTCACCCAAAATCCTGCCGCTTTCACAAGATAATCCTGCGCCAACACAGATAAAAATATTTCATCTTTTTGTGAGTGGCCAATCATCGAACAGGTTATTAGCGATGGATCATAGAACATTGTACTGAGCAGGGGCGTAGCTACATGGTGGCCAGGGGGGGCCACGGCCACCATTGGTCAAGGCTCGGCCCCCCTGCCGGCCCCCCCTCTCGACCTCACGGGAAAATAAATTTAATAATAATAAAAAATACAAACTCCAGTAACGGTCTAAAAAGGAATCTAAAATGTATTTTTTAATCAAGTCATTGATTTGTCACTTACGCTACATATTACGCTCCATATTAGCAACATGTTGGGTCACGCCCCCATCAACAGTGCGAGACATAACGTGCCTGCATTCTGACACCGCTTAATGAAGACTAGTAGCAGCTAATCACTGGATATACCACTGTAACTAACAGGTGTGTAAGTTGGTGATACTTGAAAGCATAACATTAATTGAAATGATAAGATCATATTAGTTATCTTCTGACTCAGTTTAATGTGTAAGAATGTGTCGTCGACATAGAGTGAGTTTAGTTAAGCAGCGCCGCTGCTGTTATTTTTGCAAACTTGTATGATTATCTGGCTGGCTAGCGCTAGACAGTTAGCTTAAGTCAATTCCAATTGTGTCACTTAGGGTACAGGCACTAACTGAAGCGTTCCGTTCACGACGACACGTAAAATCCCTTTTAGACTAATCTGGTCTATTTTTTTCCCTTCAAACGCACGCGCTGGCGCCGCAATCACGTCTAGTGTAGCTACTTCCATAGGGTTCTATCATATATAGGGTTCTTTACTCAAAGGACATTGTATGCTAAAAAAGGTTCAATAATGAGAAGAAAGAACCCTTTTGGCTCAAAGGTTTTTTAAAGGCTATTATTCATTCATATATTACATTATTCTGCAACATTTGTAGATGTTATTAAATTATTGTTTATTAAACTGTTGTAGTAACTTAATATCACATTTTAATCATGCATATTTTTGGAGGATAAAAAGTGAAATGGCACTCTTCGTCTGATATTAATTAATCACATTTTTTAACCACCATATGTTGAATTTTTTGATCATTCACATGCATTGCATTTTAGGGGTTCCAAATACGTAAAACGCTTTAGAACCTTTTAAGGTTCTATATTGAACCTTTTCTTCTAAGAGTGTAATCTAGTAACTATTATTAACTAACAAGAAACTCTGATTAACAAACTAGTAAGTAATAGCGCATAGATTAAGTGTTACTACTTCTGTGGGAATTACTAATTATTTGGATTCGTATTATAAAGTGAAGATCATTGGAACTAACTAATAATTACTCAAGTGTTACTAAAGACATTTTCTAAAAGTATACTAAAGTTCACCAAAAATCTCAAACAGTTGCACAAATCATGACTAGATCATGTAGTAACACTTGAGTCATTACTAGTTAGTTCCAATGATCTTCACTTTATAATACAGATCCATTAGTAAGTAATAGCTCACAGATGAAAGTGTTACTAGATACTTCTATGGGAACTACTAATTATTTGGTTCCGTATTATAAAGTGAAGATCATTGGAACTAACTAGTAATTACTCAAGTGTTACTACATGATCTAGTCATGATTTTTGCAACCGTTGTAACCTGTTGTGTTATCACAAATGAAATTGGATGTTGCACTTAAAATGCAATGGTTTACCTAAATAAATTATTGCCTAATATGACAATTCATATTGCGTCTTTCTGTCATTTGCACTAAAAACATCCCTGTCTCATGTTAAGGTCCCTAACCCCTCACATAATGATGACACATTGCACTCGCACATTTATCAGTTAGACATTATTAGTGTCATAAGGGAGTTCAATCCATTGTTTATGGCCTGACGAGCCGCGCGTGAGTTTTAGTAATAGTAGTTTTTGACAATCAAGTGCCACCCCAAATAAAAGACTGGCACAGGCTGGCCCCCCCAGAAATAATGTCCTGGCTACGCCCCTGGTACTGAGTGCAGAAAATTTAAATATTATTGATAAATAATTAATGACAATAATTAATAATGACACCACCACAAAAACAAATCCATTAAGATATATTTATCTATCTGTTTTGTTGATAATTGTAACTATGTAAACGTCCACCCCAAGACCGCAACGCAAGCACCACCTCAACTGGGTGGCCTCAAAATTTGTGAAGATGATGATTGTAACTATGGCATTAGCAACGTCTGCCAAGAGACCACAAGTAAAGTCAAGTCAGCTTTATTTATACGGCGCTTTTTACAACACAGATTGTATCAAAGCAGCTTCAAAGTAATAACATGAAAATAATACAACAAAGTTTGTTTCTAGAAGAAAATTGCGTCATTGTCCACCTTAAGGCCAATCAATAATATAATTAAATATTAAATGTACCTACTAAGCAAGCCAAATGCCAAGGCAATTTCACAATGCAAGCACCGCCTCAACTGCACAAAACGCTTCCACTAGAAGCGAAAGCGGCAGCCGCGTAGTGATTCCATCGCTTGTCACATCCCACGTGAAAGGGCCTTAAGTGATGACAGGATTTCATTTTTGGGTGAACTATCCCTTTAAAATTCTTATTAAAGACCAACTAAATGTGCACTAGTCCTTTTTAAAGGGAAGTATCTTATACAAGCACCAGGTTCCACCATTTGAGTTAACAGAATAATAACAACATTACACACAAACACATTTTAACAAATGCACATTACACACATACATTTAATTTAGTAGTTGCAAATGAAGCATAGGCAGATAGGCTACTATGCAATTAATATGTGATTCACAAGGAAACTGTAAAAATGAACATTTCACAAGTTCCAAAGTTGACCTGAAATGACACAGAGTCTAACAACATACAATTTATTAATCCACATAAAATCAATGCACAAACACAAATTACCTTTCTTTACCCAAAATGATCCTTACTATGCCAAATAAATGCATCTAACAATACACAGTACAAAGCCATAATAACACTTAAAGACATTCAAATATGGAGACTGAGTGACATTAGCTATCATCTTGTAGTTTTCACAATTTCATTGCGGTAAAAATTATCAGACAATACTCGAGGTTTAATTTTCCGAGGACAACAGTCAACTCATAAAATGTAGAAGTTACCAAAATTATTCTGACAAATTGATTTAAATTGATCTTATAAGATGATGAAAATATTTGTGTCGAAGTGAAATGCTCCACTAAACCTCTGTATGTTACTGCTGTGATCTGACCTGAGCGTACAGAGACTGCTCCTGAATGACTTTTGATTTGGTCCTTCTAGTGTTCAGAGGTTTTTGACCAAAGCTAATGGCTGCGTAATTCATGCTGTCTTCGTTCTAATATCAAGAGAGAAAATAATTTCCAATTATGAGAGGAAAATTACACATGATGTGGCATAACATACAACAAAAGATTTAAAAAACCCTGAAAAAATAATATTATCTAATATTAAATTGATAAAACATATACATTGATAAAGATTTGTGAAAAGATCTCAATTGGAAGATAATTGTGTACTTACTTGATTCTCTTGAGGTTTGAGCACTTTAGGAAGTGAAGAAACAAGCCTTTTCATTATAAATGGCATTTACATTTTTAACAATTTATCTTTTAACATAATACATTAATTTTATTCACAAAGTCCTACCTTTTATCTGACTCCTGAGTAGTTTTATTCCCAAAAATACAACAAGAGCAAACAATATAATGTTTGAAATTCCAAGAGCAAGAAGAGATGGATTCACACCGCCACTCTCTGCAACACAATTAATTTGATCTTAATTTTTTTTTTTAAGTTTGGTGTCTTTGGTATCATGTACTCTAGTATATTAATCAACTGCTTTTCAAGATAGGAGAAAAAGCCAAACATTTCAACATTTAAAGCCAGACATTTGCATTTCACCTTACCTCTAAAATTAAGTTGATTTCCTTCTCCAAACAGTATCTCTCCACATGCGGCCACAGCGCAGTAGTAAATCCCAGCGTCAGAGTCACTGATGTTGCTCTTGAGGAGATTGTAGACGCAGCTCTGTGTTTGAGACTCATTGCTGTTCTTACACTGACCATTTCTCTCTCCTTTGGTGTAAAGGACTCCTTGAGAGTCTCCCAAGCTTTGTCTGAACCAGTAGACGCTGTGTTCTCCAGCACAACTCTCACTGAAGACGCTGCACTGCAAATTCACTGAATCCCCTGGATGAAGCGTGTCTATCAAAGACTGCTGAACAGTTGTGTGTCCAGCTTGAAGTGAGAAAAGGAATAGAAATAGTAAGCAAAAAATGGCATAAATCAAACAAAACTAAAATAACAAGCAGTAAAACTTACCTTTAAAAAATAATCTAGTGCCTGCACCCATTCCAATAGTGTAATATGATGAGACGACACAATAATATGTTGCAGAGTCTGAAGGCTTTGTCTGTAAAATGGTCAGATTAAAATGATCATCTCCTTTGGTAATATTAAAACGATTCATTTTCTCAAAGTCCTTATTCCAGCTGGGTTGTTGATTTAAATATAAAGACACAATTTGTATGGATTTTCCATTGGATGCCCGTTTAAACCATGCTCTTGTTGATTGCAGAAGCGTTGAAAAGCTGCAAGTAAGATTCACATCCTCTCCAGCTCGAACTACTTTTACATCTTCCTGAACAACATCCACATTAGAGGACTCATCAGAGGAGCAGACTGCAAAATCAAGCACACAATAGTAAGTTTTAGAGTTAAAAGTGTTAATATATAGACATGTTTAATGTTTAAAAGACATTTAGGTATATTTACATATTGTTGAGGAAAGCAAAAGAATGAAGTATCTCATGATCAGTCGTCTTCCAAATATATCCTCAGGCTTTGAATTCCCCTGAAAAAGCAAAAGAATGAGCCTCACCATCACACATGCTAAAGAATAAGGGTAGATCACTAGACTGTGTCCTTACCATGTGTCCATCTGTCTCTGCTTCAGTCAACTGAGACACATGTGCACTTTCACCTTAACTTTTCTGCTTTCACACACTGTCGCCACATCAAAATGTCTAACCTAACCATCTTTCCATTGCTTCAAAAAACACTCTTATTTATTTAGACAGGTGTTATTAATACTACTCTAACTGGCCTCCCTCAAAACTGTGTGGGTAATATGTTGTTTTATTGCTAATGCTTGATGTGGTTTGACAAAGGGAAAAAAAGCAGGAAATAACATTCAAAGAAGCATGTAACCAGACGACAAACCTTAAAAGGGCCTCGCATGAAAGCTATTTTTTACCGATGATGAGCATCTAAATTTGACACCAGTGTTGTAGTACTCGAGACTCGGACTCGGTCTCGAGACCATATTTTAATGGTCTTGGTCTTGTCATGGACTCGTGTCCATTTGGACTCGGAATTGACTCGTACTCGAACATTTTTTTTTTAGGACTCGGACTTATTCCCGAGTCCACTCGAGTTCAATTCAAAATATTTTTCATGATTATTAATGTATGTTAATAAAATATTTCTTTAAATTGATTGACACGCCCAGTGATTGGTGATTTTCTAGTGCGCAACTGCGCATGACAAATTATAATAAAATTACTTTAAACACCACCTACTATGTGGCCTTTTTACCCTAAACTGATCATATTTTTTAAACTCTAAGTAAATTCAGTAAAAAAAAAAAAAAGGATTTCTCTAAGTAAATAAAAGTAAATTAGGTAATCAGCCCTCACTGGTCTCGGTCTCGACTCGGACTCGACCGTCTCTGGTCTCGGACTCGACTCTCTATGGACTCGGTCTTGACTCGGACTCGACTCTCTCTGGTCTCGGTCTTGACTCGGACTCAAGTGAGGTGGTCTCGACTACAACACTGTTTGACACATTTAAATAATGATCAAGTTTAACTATTCTGGATTGGTTAATACATGCATACATCTATCACGATATTATGCTGATCAGTAAACACAATGGAGAATGCAATATAGTCTTTAATAAACTGACATTCAGGAGACAGGATAAGGAATGAGAACCACTAAACAAATATACCACGTTAACACAAGACAAAACACTGCGTGCGGAGAACTAAGGGCTTAAATACACAAAGAGAGGTAAAGAGGAAACTAAACAGGTGAATGTAATCAGTAACCAAGGGAACAAACTGACACACGCTAGAAAACTAAGGTGCGTTCCATTCGACAAGGTCCCTACACAGTGTTCACTGCTCCCTACTCCCTGAACACGGTACATCAGTTGAAGTGGACTTTACTGACAATAATTACTCATTTGGATTGCCATGCAACGTCATCAAAGAAAGGCAACAAACAGGGTCTCGCTGATTTTGATATAACTTAATTAAATTTTGTAATTTACTTTCCTTTCTAATTTAAAATCATATAGGCCTGTAGATGCGTTCATCATCCTAAACGTTCATAAATATGTGAAAGCGGTTAGCAATTGAAATCTAAAATCTCTTCCAAAGGCTCTGCTCTATGGTTAGTTCCAACGCATTCTCATCCTAGGGCGTCATATAGGTGACGCTTTTGATATTGCATCTAAATCTGACGCACGTGGCACCCTTTAGTGTCAATATAACACGCTTCGGTTATGGGTAGGTTTATAGGTCTAGGGTTAGACCACTAGGAGGCGCCTTCTGGCCCATATATCTCAGCCCATTCTCACCCCCAAGGCGTCACCTAACTGACGCCTTGGGAAGCATTTGACCATGCTTCAATATCTGACGCTTTAGGCGCCCTTTAGCATCAGTTAGATGACGCCTTAGGATCGCGTGTAACCCTACCCCCACCCCACACCTAAACCTAACCGCGTCATCTAACTGACGCTTTCCTTTAGCTTTCCCTGCCTTGTTGTGTATGTTTGTATGGACTGCGTGCCTGTCTTTGAACTTGCCTTTACTCCGATGGATTATGTCTTTGGATTACCCTGTTTGATAAATACTGCATTTGGATCCAAAACCTTTGTCTCAAGGTCCTACGTGACAATATGTCCCCTTTAAATGCAGTCCAGAATCAGATCTCATACCAGTGATCTACAATCACTAGGTGGCAATAGAGAGCATGTTGAATTCAGCATTCAGCAAATGCCTCTTTAAAGAAAGAGTCTTTCTTGTTAAAGACTAACTAATATTTTGCCAGAGACCTATACCCAATACATGCGCCAGGATCTATCATTTGGGTTAACAGTAAAAACAATGCAACGAAACATTATTAAAAAACAACAACAACACATTTGATCAAATGCACATAAACAGAGTATTAATTTAGTAGAATCAAATGAAGCATAGCCTACTTCACACAAGTGATTCATAAGGAACTGTACACAGAACAGAGTCTGATACATTCATTAATCAATTAACAAAAATATAAATGAGCATACAAACACACTACTTCTCTTTTACAATTATCATTATCGTTGCTATGTCTAACAAATATAGCTATCTAAAATTACAAAGCCAAAATAACACTAACATATAAAATACATTCAAATATGGCCACCAATAGCTATCATCTTGCAATCCATATTTTCATTTACATTGTTACTTTTTTGACATTGTTAGCTACTGGTGTTTGAAGTTATATTTTCAGAGCATTTAACAATTAACTGACACTTAATGCTTGAAATAAAAGACAGGCATTATATTCAAGTTACTTTATTATCAAATCACATTAAAAAAAGCAACACGGCTGACCAAACTGCAGTACAGTAAAAAAAAAAAAGATAATTCATATAATTATAATTCATTGTCAAAGTGAAATGCTCCACTAAACCTCTGTATGTTACTGCTGTGATCTGACCTGAGCGTACAGAGACTGCTCCTGAATGACTTTTGATTTGGTCCTTCTAGTGTTCAGAGCTTTCTGACCAAAGCTAATGGCTGCGTAATTCATGCTGTCTTCATTCTAATATCAAGAGAGAAAATAATTTCCAATTATGAGAGGAAAAAATACACATGATGTGGCTTAATTTAAAAAAAGAAAAATATGTTATTTAATATTAAATTGATAAAAATATCTCAAATTGAAAATAATTGAAATATATCTTACTTGATTCTCCTGTGGTGTGGGCACTTTGGGAAATTAAGAAACAGTCTTGTCATTATTAATTGCACTTGTGTTATTCAAAATTTGATATTGCATTACCACAATAAATTAACCCTATTCAGAAAGTCTTACCTTTTTTCGGACCCCTCCATAGTTTTATTCCCAGAAAAACAACAAGAGCCAAAAATATGATGTTTGAAAATCCAAGAGCAAGAAGAGTTTGATCCAAATCTAAGGCAATAAAATGAAACAAATTGTATATATTTCGCTTAGATTATTTGATCAGTTCGGTATCATGTACTCAAATAAATGAAATGAGAGAGGAACGATCAAACATGGACTCATATCCCCACTTACTGAAACAAAATTTATTTGATCTTCTAAATTTTTTTTTTTTTGATAAGTTTGGTATCATGTACTATATTAAGTACATTTTTGTTTATAGTTTTTTTAAAATACATTACTATATTGGTATCATGTACATGTATATTAATCAATGCTTTTCCAGATTTCACATTTCAACATTTAAAGCCAGACATTTGCATTTCACCTTACCTTTAATATTTAGTTGAGTTCCTTTTCCGAACAGTATCTCTCCACATGCAGCCACAGCGCAGTAGTAAATCCCAGCGTCAGAGTCACTGATGTTGCTCTTGAGGAGATTGTAGACGCAGCTCTGTGTTTGAGAGTCATTGCTGTTCTTACACTGACCATTTCTCTCTCCTTTGGTGTAAAGGACTCCTTGAGAGTCTCCCAAGCTTTGTCTGAACCAGTAGACGCTGTGTTCTCCAGCACAACTCTCACTGAAGACGCTGCACTGCAAATTCACCGAATCCCCTTGGTGAAGCGTGTCTATCAAAGACTGCTGAACAGTTGTGTGTCCTACGGCTGCATCTTGACATATGGGACATAAAAGGGACACTTGATAGAAAAAGCAAGACCAATAGTCATCCAACACAATCCACACAAAGTATAAAAAAAAAGCAAGAAAATATACCTCTGATGAGTAATCTAGTGCCTGCGCCCATTCCACTCTTCCAATTTGATGCGACGACACAGTAATATGTTGCTGAGTCTGAAGGCTTTGTCTGTAAAATGATCAGATTAAAATGACGATCACCTTTGGTAACATTAAAACGATTCATTTTCTCGAAGTCCTTATTCCAGTTGGGTTGTTTATAGTGTATAGACACAATCTTTGAAGATTTTCCTTTAGCCGTCTGTTTAAACCATGCTGTTGATTCCATAAACTCTGAAAAGTAGCAGGTTAAGTTCACATCTTCTCCAGACTGAACTATTTTTAAATCTTGCTGAACAACGTCCAATTCAGAAGTGCAGGCTGCAAAATGAAGCACACATACTTTAGAGTTGAATGTGTTATAAAGTGTTAGGAGAGTGGTTTATAGGTATATATTTAGGTATATTTACATATTGTTGAGGAAAGCAGAAGAATGAAGTAAAATCTCATGATCAGTCGTCTTCCAAATATATCCTCAGGCGTTGAATTCCCCTGAAAAAGCAAATGAATGAGCCACACCATCACACACGCTAAAGAATAAGGGTAGATCACTAGACTGTGTCCTTATCATGTGTCCATCTCTGCTTCAGTCAACTGAGGCACATGTGCACTTTCACCGTAACTTTTCTGCTTTCACACACTGTCGCCACATCAAAATGGGCAATTTCTTTTTTTAACTCAACCATTTTTCCTTTCCGTTGCTCCGAAAACCCTCTTTCATGTATTAGGAAATGTATTATAAATACAATATACAGTTTTTAGCAACTGAAGTTGGCCTCTCTGAAAACTCTGGTTAATACGTTTTTTTTTTTTTTTTTATTGTTACTAAATATGCATTTTGTGGTTTGACACAGAAAAAAGCCGGAAATAAGCCGTCAAAGAAGCATGTAACCGAAAAAACAATCCTTTTAAGGGCCTCATATAAAACTCAAGGTTTTAGTAGGCCTACCAATGATGACAACAAAGATATTTTACATTTAATTCAATTAATTAATATAATTTAAAATTAAATTGAAATTATTATTATTTGTTTTGAATCTAGAGGACAGCAGGGCATGATCAAGTTTAAAGTTATTACGCCCTTTTTACGAAGCCTTGTTTTGGAGGTGTAGAATATGCTTTCATGCTTGATTGTTCAAAAACACATTATTTGTAACATATTTTTACAGTATTACAGCACTTCTCTCCTCAGTCTGGCTTGTACGCGACATTTCTACCCTATCTCACGACCAATTCGTACGAATTCGTACGAGTGATTAAAAAATGGCTTATTCGTACTAATTCGTACGACCTCACTCGTACGAATTCATCCGATTTGTCTAAACCCACGTGATGTTTAGGTTTAGGGGCGGGGTCAGGGGTAGGTCATTCGTACTAATTCATATGAATTGGCCAATTCGTAAAATATGTACGAATTAGCAAAATCGTACCAATTTGTACGAGTGAGGTCATATGAATTGTTATGAATTAGCCACCTCGTAAAATTCATACGAATTCCCGTGAGATCGGGTTGGACATTTAGTCCCTGATTTGATGAAGCCCCTCCTTCCGAATTATGAAATGTGCCGTGATTGGTTAGCTCGCCCAGTGTCTGGCACGCTTAGCTGTTTTGGAAAGTCATGCCTCTTACCATAACAGCGAGCTCTACTCAGATTTAAATATTGAGGCTGGCTTCAATTTCAAACCAATTCAAGCCTGATTCAGACTTAAGAATGTTAACAAACAACAGGATCGTCCTGAACAGATTTCTTGCACGGACTTTACAAGCACAGATTTCATAGGGCGTTTCAGCGTGGCACTGTTTTTTTTTTTTTTTGGCAATTTTCTTATACATTTTTGATATGATGTTATATATTTAATCATAATATTTTTTGGAAACTATATGGTAATAGAAACAGTAATCGATCACAAAACCATGGTTAATTTTCCTAATGGACGATGAACAGCTGTTCCAAAGTGAGAGCTTACAAAAGCTACAGTAAACAGTTGCACTATCAACTGTAAAGTTGTCTAGCAGGCTCGCGGAGGCAAAGCTTTGCTCTTTGTTCTTACTTCTCTAGACAGCAGAGGCCCTTGCTTCAGTATTTTTACACTTACCTGTTGGTGGTGGTAGTGACTCGCCTAAAAGTCCTTCCACCATAGAAAGTCCTCAGCTGTGAAGAACGGATTTCAAATGTGTTTTATTTTTATTAATAATATTCTATGACCTGCAGTATGTGCACATGATAAATTTATAGGGACAGTCTGCAGGAAGTCATGGGGTTAAATAGATGATGACCCAGAGTCATCCTAGGGACTTTGTTTCTATTAGACCCGACCTGTGCATTTGCAATGGGAGATAACATCGAGTGTGAAGCATTTTTTCCGGAAGAACATGAATCCGGAAATACAAAACAGAACACCTCTCATACTGTTTATTTTCATTACATACATAAAAGTTGAGTTGTGCAAAGACATATCCGAAAGACTACACCAGGTAAAATAGATTGGATGAACTTATCGGGATTACTTGTATATACACTGATGAAGTTTGCACAATATCAGGAGTAAGTGAAGAAATACTGTAGATAGAAATAAATGAGAATGAAAATAAGTTATTTGGGCACCTGTTACGTCAGCAGGCTTTGCTGGCTGTGAGAATTTCCCACTATAAAAAACAGCATGTATTTCGAATCCACACATGCCATGGATGTGCCTCAATATCTCCGCAGGCCTTTATTTCGTGGAGATTTGACTTATATTTGAAGTTTGACAAAGAGACACTCCATAGGCATAATGATTTTTATACTGAGCGCTTTTGACAGTTTCTTGGCCCTAAACGTAAACCCATCACAGAAAACTTTCAGCATTTTTACATTTTCAAAAGACATAATAAGGCATAATGATTTATATAGAGAATATAACTTCACTTTAGTAATGTTTTTTTAAGTTTCTGTACATTTTTCGCATTTCAAAAACATGTTATTACTCTTGCATGAAGTCAATAAAAAATAAACCAAATATGTTATACAATCAATAGAGAACACACAAGTAGTTTTAATGTCAGTTTGTGTTTTAGTTAAATGTGTTCGAGGAGGTTTAAATTAATTAGCATTTTTGCTAAAGGTGTAACCTGTTGGATACATGTGTCACATTTTCACAAAAGAGACATACAGCAAAATACAGTAACAATAATGGAGAAAGCAGACTTTGATTTAGTTATTTACTTGCACATAGAAACGTGAAGCCACGCTTATATTACATTGTTACATATTTTGGGGAACATAAAGCCGTATCTAGATATCACAGAACACGCATCATTTTACACATAACACCATTTATGAAAAATTACGTTGTAAGCTAAAAAAATATGTTTTACATTTGCACTACAAACAAGGAATTCGTGGCATGTTCTTTGAGACATTTCTTTAGATACTTTCAAGTATCAAAAACAATATTATTTAACTACAGTTTAAGTTAATATTCAGACAAAAAGATCTTTCTGTTCTATATAAATTGACATATGTACATGCAACCAACTATGTAAAGCTCAAATAACATGATAAAAAGGTCATGAAAATACAGAACAATATGAAAAAGACTTGTGATGTGAGATTAACTGTTGCAAATCTGGTATGAATATAAATACAAAGCAGTGCTGAAAATATACAGTAAAACATGTTTTACCTCATAAACTTGAATGGGAAACTGTTACTTCTGTTGTGTGATTAAAGGTATTCTTTCTCTACACATGCCGTATGTCACAACAGAGTGTTCTTCAGTAATCTTTACTTTGAGTCCATTCGCTATGAAAGAATTGTGAGCCGCATAACCCAAAATGTCTTCACCCTAAAATAATGCAGAAAAAAGAAACAAATGTCAAAGACATTGTCATATAAAATAAGGATAAAAGTCAAGTCTTTTATGGAAACCCACTATTATAATCATGTGCTTATGATAAGACTTATTGTATGATTCTAATCAATAAATATGTGATTTGAATCTCAAAATTAAAACTAGAAACTTACTTGACTCTCTTGAGGTTTTTGGATTGTGGGTGAATAAGAAAAACATTGAATTAAAAAGGCAATCAAATATAATATTTCTGTAGTGGCAATTGTTGTATTTTCATAAACATGTTAATATAAATACTTTATATGTGTTATCAGTGTGTGATAAAAAGAAACCTTACCTTTATTCTGATTCTGGCATAGTTTTATGGCAAGAAAAACAACTAAAGATAAAAATACGATGTTTGAAATCCCAAGAACAAGCAGGATTGTATTCACACCACTCTCTGAAAATACATAATTCATATTACTGATAACAGATCAGTGCATTGGTATTATTTCCCCCAATAAATGATTTAAATGCTCGTCCTTAGAGGCAAAATTAAATATGTCTCCCAAAACCTTACCTCTAAAATTGAGTTGAGTTCCTTCTCCGAACAGTATCTCTCCACATGCGGCCACAGCGCAGTAATAAATCCCAGCGTCAGAGTCACTGATGTTGCTCTTGAGGAGATTGTAGACGCAGCTCTGTGTTTGAGACTCATTGCTGTTCTTACATTGACCATTTCTCTCTCCTTTGGTGTAAAGGACTCCTTGAGAGTCTCCCAAGCTTTGTCTGAACCAGTAGACGCTGTGTTCTCCAGCACAACTCTCACTGAAGACGCTGCACTGCAAATTCACTGAATCCCCTGGGTGAAGCGTGTCTATCAAAGACTGCCGAACAGTTGTGTTTCCAGCTTAAAGTGACAAAAGAAATCGAAATAGTAAGCAAAAAATGCCATAAATCAAACAGAACTAAAATAACAAGCAGTAAAACTTACCTTTAAAAAATAATCTAGTGCCTGCACCCATTCCAATAGTGTAATATGATGCGACGACACAGTAATATGTTGCAGAGTCTGAAGGCTTTGTCTGTAAAATGGTCAGATTAAAATGATCATCTCCTTTGGTAATATTAAAACGATTCATTTTCTCAAAGTCCTTATTCCAGCTGGGTTGTTGATTTAAATATAAAGACACAATTTGTATGGATTTTCCATTGGATGCCCGTTTAAACCATGCTCTTAATGATTGCAGAAGCGTTGAAAAGCTGCAAGTAAGATTCACAGATTCTCCAGCTCGAACTACTTTTACATCTTCCTGAACAACATCCACATTAGAGGACTCATCAGAGAAGCAGACTGCAAAATCAAGCAGGTACATTTAATTGACTAAATTTACATTTAATTGAATAAATCAGAACTCAAAAATTGAGTTTTGATAAATAGATACATAATTTTGTTGAATAGGAAATATTTCAAGTATATTTACCTATTACTGAGAAGAACAAAATGATTAAATAATATCTCATGATCACTGGTCTTCCAAAATTATCCTCATATTTTAAATTCCCCTGGGTAAAAAACAAAACAAAAACAAAACACAAATAAGCCCAAAACAATCCTTTCACACCAATTAAATAATAGAGGTTGATAAGTAGACTGTCTATATACCATGTGTCCTTCAAAATGAGAT